GTCTATGAACAATGATATTGTTGATATTCTTTTTCCATAAACAAAAACTGTGTATAATTAGCTGTGTGATATGTTGCAACAGCAGTAGCTTTGCAATTTTGATATCTCATTGTTTTTAAATTTTAAATGAATTCATTTTTTTGATTTCGGTGGCAAAAAAACGCGAGCTAATTGAATCCTTAAATTTGAGGTAAAAAGTAACATGTTAAATGACATAGATTTCAAACTCCATAGTCTTGCCCCTTGCGTTAAATTTGCATTGATTTTTTTGTTATCGGAAATATTATTCCATGTTAATTAATTTAAAATGTATAGAGTCATGTTACTTCAAGAATCGAAGTGGAAACTCACACTTATTTTTAATTACTACCGATTTATGCTAAAATCAATGTAGAGTCACCCTTCGAGTAATTAATACTGGGCTGTGAATTCTGGCAGTTTCGGAATCTTCGTTAAAAAATATAAAGGTCTATTTGATTTGTATTTAGAACATTTGCTACAGTAGGTACCATACGTTAAAAATCTATCCCCCATTTTGCAATGTAGTGATTGTAGATCCGCAGATAGCAGTTTTGTTTTTGGTACGTTGTTATTGAGCACTAGAACTTCCATCAGCACAGTAGAATAAATTAACTGAAGAAGTGGTTACTGCCTGAAACATACGGATCGGTTTCTCCTTGTTTCGAACTTTCCTGAAAATAAGGAGCCTTGCAAAGAAACAAGAAGGGGTTATGGTCTCCAGTTTTACAATTTTTTGCAATAACATCCCGTTACAAGAACGATACTGAGATGCCAGAGAAATCGTGGTACACTACAGCAAAGAGTAACTAATAATACTCTTTGACTACAGTTAGGTTTCTTTGATGTGGAAATCTTTAGCGAGGTGGAGGATAAGAAACAATGGGGATTTACGATAATTCAGCCGCTCTAACCGGGTTGGTAGAAATCGCCATAGAAACAATTGTCCCAGTAATTGTAACCAGCAAAATCTATCAACCATGTTAAACCAGTTGAATTATCGTAAACCCCCAATAATACACAATAAACAAAAGACAATCGTATTTGTAATAGCTTCTTACAATACAGGAGTTGAACAGCCTTGTTCGTATGATCAAAAATTGATTTCCTACTGCCACGAAAAACTTTTTCTAAGGCAAACTTTTTAATAGCTCGTAAAATTGAACTCTTAAATGAAAATTGAAAAAGAATTCAAAAAGAATGAAAATAGTTATTAAATGTGATACAAGTTTACGCCTTTTAGCCAATTTACCAAGATCGATTCCTATTTTCTGACAACATTCAATAAAAATTCAATGCAATTTCTTAAAGAGATTCGATTTTAATTTTTTATACAAATCCAACAAAAATTTCACTTCACCTTAATTATAGCGATTTCTAAAATCGATGGCGTTCCTAAAGCTGGACAATATAGAAACGAAAAATTGGATCTCCTTTCGTTGTATAGAAATGATCAGGCAATGAACTTTCAATTTATCTCGACGGCAGACAAACCAGTTTTCCGCTATTACAATAAGAGTAATAAGCGTAAACCAGGGAATCTTATTTATTGAAACGGCAGCTTAACTATGATTTATTCGCTGGAAACTGCTGCTGACTAACGGAGAAGCTGGCGTCAGGTCTCGATCGTTCACCATATATACCCATGCCCGTTCCCCTTTCTGTTAGGGACCCGTCTGTAAACCACACGAGTCCCTCAGGTTTGAAAAACGAGTATTCCGAGTTCAGCCACTGCTCCCTGTTCAGGAGAGTGATTCCATAACTCTTTGGTCTTAGTAAGACATCCCGGATCACATCCCTTCTTGCGAGGAGGGGATGGGATCTGAGGATTTCCTCCCAGATCCGCCCGTTCCCAAGGCTACCACGATTTTTTCACTCGTCCCAATCGTTTAGCTGTATGGAAGCCTTCTGAGCCTCTGCCTCCACAGCTAAGTGTTAAAGACTAGTCCCAAAAGCGAGCCCAAAAGTGCCTCCATGGCCAAAGTTGATGTGGTTTTCATTGCTCCCTTATCTATGCATCCACCAGTTTCTCCGCCGCTTTTAGAAAAAAACGATAATAGGCTGATGGACCTGTAAATCTTCGCCATGTCATTTTGGCACAACCCGGCTTACGTAGGTACACAACTCTTAACCTTTCTCCGGCTTTCGGGGATATACTCTAAAGTACCAGAGCTTGGAGTATGCCGTTCGGTCCAGCACTCTTGAATGGGCTGACCCCTGACCGCCCTTTCAGAGATCTCTCGGTAACTTTTTGCGTTAAAAGCAATAAATTAGCACCTTTTAATACACCAAATCACGAACACTTAAAGACGTATTTGTTTTTGTAAACACAGTGTCTGTCTGCTTAAATCATGTAAATAGCAGAAGTAAAAATAAAAAAAGGAAGAGCACAGAATTTGAAAACAAGCCACTTAATTAGCACCTAATCAGCACCTAATTATGCAATATCTTTGATTGTGTTCTGCTGAACTTGCTCTGCTAGGTTCATTTACATTACTTTCCCGTCGATCGGCCGTACACCGAACCTTGTAGGTTCTTTTAGTGGGTTCGAAATTACGTAGTCCCCAGAGCCTGGAAAGTCCAGGAGACATGTGAGAGCCTCGCCCGCGGTAGAGGCATATCTGCCGCATGAAAGCCTCAGGGTCTCCACTTTCTGCCCTGGGCTTTTCAAAAGGATCTTACGAAATCTTTGAACTTGCGGAAGAGAAGACCCTCCATGTTACCACAGAAGGTCTTCCATGATCTTTTGATTCTGATTTTCTTTCATCTGCCCTACTTCCTGACAGAGCAAAGGTGGTTCATCCAACCGCTCTGACAGTTTCGGCACATATAGCAATTCCAATCAGTGGATCGGGGATTCCGAAACCGACATGGCCCGTAGTGGAATGCCAGGATTAGTTGTACCGGTGATCCGAAGCGACTCTCCAATTCGTGATCATGTGAGCTATTAAATTGGAGCCCAACGTCATATCAATAACCTCCTGCCCCCGTGCTGTAACTGAGGTAGGGGCTGCTCCCTGATTTAAAACATTGAAATCAGTTGTTTGCAAATACTCCAGAAATTGCTCTGTAAGAAGGTTACTTTGTCCATCACTGATGTACTAGGCCCCCCTTCCCCTCTCCCAGTGGTGCCGACGGTTCCTACCCCTGGTCGGAACCAAGAACCGCCATACGAGCCAAAAGCTTTCATCTTTCTCAATGTCTGAGGGCGCCGGTGGTAATCCGAACGCCTCTTCGAGGTCGATAACGAGGGATTGAGCTCCCTCCGTCTCAAGGACACTGAGGCCTGCTGCTCCGGTGGAGCTCTTTCCCTTAGCGGGCGCAGCCGTGTGCGTGCACCTGAAAGTTCTGCCGCTGGAGTGCCCGATGGCCGATGGGATGCCTCATCGACATCAAATGCGAGGAGGACCTTACCAGGCTTCTCCCTACGGATAAACGTTCTACATAGACTCGACCTGCAACCAGAATTTTGTCTCTGGAGGCGCTTCAAGAAAGCGATCTGGGGCGCAGGGCCCGCTTGACCCGAGGTTTTATACTCGAGCCGGTGCTTCCGGTCCATCGCCTTCAATGCGCCAGTGCTATTCTTTTTGAATAGGAGCTGGCCTACCACCAGGTCCTTGAATAAGGCCCTGGGTTAGAACCTTCTCCTCTTTCAAGGAGTCTACTCCGTTACCGGATCCCTTTTGAGGGCACTCTGACATACGGAAGGCTAGGGAAAACGCGGCGACAGATAGCCGGCAGTCACCAATATTCGAGAGTACCAAAAAATTTCCAGCGCAAATTTAATAAACCGTGGAAAAATAATGTGAAGCTCTAAATTGGAGTAGGGCCGTATTAAACCCTTGTACAAAATTATGTAATTTAACAAGTCGGAATCAGTATACGTGATTTCGTGTTTATAAACTTTCGACAAGGAGACGGCTATATTTAAATTGGATTGAGAGAAGGCTCCTAGCTAATACAATTGGAAAGTTTCTAGATAAATAAATGGCTACATATCTTATCGCAGCCGTTTTGGGATGTATTCTAAGCAGACAAGACGCTTATTTGATTTATCATTGACAATAATTTCGCATTTAAGAAATATGAGGAAGTTCTCTTTGACTCTAGCCGTGGTTGACGACTTCAGTATGTATTTAAACTACACGTGCGTTTAAGCGTAAGACTGTAATGAGATTTAGCACTTCGTGTAAATGTTCACTTTTAAAGGAGTGGTACAACTGCATGTCGTCAGCATACATGTGAACTATAGACACGTCTTAGGAACTCATGTATAAAATAAGGTATATATGGTGAACAATAAGGGGCCAAGAATAGACCCTTGCGGTACACCCCCAGGTAGTTCCCTGTACTACACAGATGACTTACCCATTAAAGTAACGCACTGTGACCTGCCCGTTAGGTAGGTAGCTATGAAGTAATGAGGTAGCATTAGGAGAAAGACCTATAGCACGTAAGATAGAAATTGCAGTTGCAGTGTTATGGTCTGTATATTTGCCCGTTACTCCCCATATACAAGTTGTGTCCCACGAATGGGTTTTGAAACATTTTTTCTTTGACAAGGCGGATTTTGCAGCCACATTGGTTACCATAACCACGAAGTCAAAAAGCGCTACAATGTGATTAAACTAATCTTGATTTTTAGCGTTTGAGAAGCTCTACTTTCAGTTACACAAACGTAGGTAGGTACCTACCTACCCTAAATCACGATCACCATTGACGAATATTTGCGCCATTAGTTTGTGAATCGATTCTAAACATGTTATTTTTACCTTTATTCTTATTCTCATTTACATTAGAATAAAATCACTAGGTACTAGGTTTTTAATGACGCAGATATCTTCATTTGTGATTCTGATTTTATAGGTCTTTATGTTAATTAGTATAATTGTAATGTATTTCCATATTACAAGAGAAGTGACGCGTACCCCTCAATGTCTATGAATGTTTACAAAAAGATTTTAATTTATGAATTGTTTCAGATGAAATACAAAAAAAGTACGCCAAATTTGGAAAAACCGTAATGATGGTACAGTTAGAACGAGGTCAAAAGGGCTTAGGTTTAAGTCTTGCGGGACACAAGGATCGTAACTGTATGGCGGTGTTTGTTTGCGGTTTAAATCCAAATGGCGAAGCTTATAAAATGGGAGGAATTGAAGTTGGCGATGAAATTTTGGAGGTAAGTAAACCGTGTAACTTGCAGAGAATGTCCAAACAACCACAGAACTGTGTAAGGGATATTGCCCTTAAGGATTTGAACGCCCTCAAACCTTTAAATTTATTTTTATACATAAAGCTTTAGATTTCATCGTTTTATGTACCTAGGCCTTACAAGAGGGCTACAATTAATTTGCAAGGGAATTGAATTCAACTGTTAATTCACTTTGATAAGACGTCAACTACAAGGAAGTTCACTTTGTTCAATATAAACTCTGTTGCACCATTAACGTACATTACCGTATACAACGTCTTTACTGGGCATAATTGGCGAACCAAATATATCACTTCTTTAAGTTTGTTGGTTATGTAAGAGTCCTACAGATCATACATTAAGTATTTTGAAATTGAATAAATAAATATCGCTCCGGAATCTCAAATAATATATGAGATTGCAATGTAGTAGATATGGGGCCAATTATTACAGTCCTCGCTTTTTAAACAAATTACCTAGCGACGTAGTAAGGCTACCATCCAAAATTTTCAAAAATAAAATTAAAACATTTAAAAAAAACAAAGTTTTTACGACATTAACGAATTTTTGAATTGTCAATGGTCTTCATCCGATTTCAATGTAAGTTAGTCATTAAATGTATTTGTCCCTTGTTTTTTATCCTTTTCTAAACTGACGCTTGTAAACAAAAAAATGTTTTTTGTCTTAACAACAATAAAGATTATTATTATTATAAATACAAATTATTTTGTTTAACCGATTCAGTTATATCAGTATATCTGGTTCACGGTTATTTGCCCACCTCAAAAATTTCGATGGTCATTGGGTGCGTTCACCAGACGAAGCGCTTCATGAGCACTACCTAAAGGCGAGAATACTCTAGCAAGGTTTCTCGCGCTAGTTGCTGGCTAATTTTTAAAAAATTGTTATTTTACAAATAGCCGCTTGGCTTGCCTAAATTAACAAGAGACTCAAAATTTACTGGGTTCATAAACGCAGGTGACTAAACAATTACAAGCATCTAAAACAAAAGCCCAACCTTTTCCAACAATACCCAAAATTAAATCTACCCATAACAAATTAAATTTTCATCAAACACCACAAACAAAAATAAAACACATTGTCACTTACTTCTTAAATACTTGTATAATCTTCACGGTATGCGACCTTGTTATTGTTGAATGTAAAACCAATCATGTGTGGCGTGACCAACTTTTGTTAACAAAAAAACCCAGAAAAATTCCTTCCTTGGTGCAAGCCTCGACACCATAACGAACCAAATAGAGAAAAAAGTAGAGAAAAGAGTATTGTTCTTAAAATAAAGAACTAGTACCGTCTAGCTAGACGGACGGACAGACGGACGAACAAAGTGGCCACAATAGCGCATTTTTTTTATTTTTGTGGAAATGCGCTAAAAACGAAAATCCAGCAGTAATTTACAATACAAAACATGTAGATGGTGACGGTGGCGAGTCGGCGGAAAATTTGGAAAGTGTCGAGTGCTCCAGGTACCTCGACTAGAAAATGGCGGTTCCAGGAATTCTAAACGGGAAGCTCACAGCAATTTTCCTAAGCGGTAATAGTAAATATGCGGATTCGGTAGCTATTAGGCTATTACTAAAGGAAAGCAATTACAGAAACCGAGTCAATATCCTCCGTCCGCTATAATTAATGAAACGGAAAATAGCAAAAAGGTTACCTGTCAATCGGATCGGTGCTGCAGAAATTGGTTAAAAGCCAATTTCAATAATTACGGAGTGGTAACTTAATTGGAAAACAAAATGAAACGGCACGGATGCAAAAAATGCAACTGGTGAAGGTGCAAAAAACCAAAAGATCGATTATTTAAATACGGTTGCAAAAGTAAATTTAAGGGAGAGCTCAAAATTTCTGTACTTACACAACGTAACTGTCGGATACAAACGGCAAAAGATGCAAAGCGGAAAAAGATCCTATTTTATAGTGCGTTTGTAATTTATTTTTTAGTCGATAGCCGGAAAAATGGCATATTATTGTTTTGTTTATGTCATCACAAGGCAGGTGATTTCCGTACTGTCCGGGAATCTTCATTCCCGTACAGTACGGGAAAATATCTATACTCTTGTGAGCATGAAAAAGTAAAAGAACAGTTATACACACAAATGCATAGTTTATTTTCTATTAATATGTACATTAATAGTACAATTATTGCAGTTTCCAATCAAATTTGATAGTCCAGTTGACTCTACTTCATAATTAATTGAACAATTCTTGTTTTGGAGATGGTGAACCCCTACTTGCTTAAATCTTTTACCATTATGGTATTTGAAGAAAAACATATTGCACTCAAAATTGGATGGTCGAACGGTTGCATATTTACGGTATGCTCCTAAATAAGTGCCGTTTACTATAAACGACCGTGGTTTATTGGCTGTGTTGCATGGAATCTTCACCAATAGTTGTGAACCCAAATCCTCAATGTCCGCAAGCTTTAAGTTACATAACTCCTCTCGCCGACAGGGGCCATAAATTCCGAAAATTACCACAACCTAAAAAAATTAAGTTATAATCTTCAGGCCTTTTAATTAAAATCTTACTTTAGCCATGAGGTAAGTATCATTTGGAGCGTTGATCATAAATTCTCCGATTTGTTCGTTGGTGAAGACTTTCGACTGCTCTTTACTTGATCTATATTCCATAAAACGTTGATAAGCATTTTCATACTTTTCCCTCGATTTAGTTGGCAACAGACTTAGAGTAGCTTCATTGACTGCTTCCAAAACTTCATCAGGTGGTGTTACACAAAATAAATCTTCATCAAAATCACCGTCGATATCCATTTTATATTAATATTGCACATCAACTAATATTATAAATTCACACATTCACACAAACGAAAAAATTTTCGATTTGTTTACTTCATGTCCATGGTAACGTTCAAACAATGCATGCTCGGAAAACAAACTTGATGTTTGCATCTTTTAATTATTGTAAATAAAAAAAGGCGCCGCCCGGGTTCGATCCGCGCACCTATCTCTACAAGCATAGACCAATGACATTATACCAAATGACAATTGGAGAAAATTAATTTAGTTTGAAATGGTATTTTTGGTGTTTAACTATTCGCTATCGACTAAAAAATAGTATGTATAACACGTAGGAAAAGTATATTCCTGGACTCTGATAGTTGTAAGCCTCGGCTAACGCCTCGGCTTACAATCACTATCATCGTCCAGGAATATGCAACTTTTCCTACTTGTCATACAATCTACTATTATTTCATACTATCTAGTAATCGCCACTTTCCCAGACTGATTTGAGTCTGGTAAATCGTATTTTACCAGACTGAAAATTTTTACCAGACGGAAAATTTTGCCTAGCAACCGCAACTGACATCCATCTAAACGTATGCATTGATATTTGTCAAACTACTGTCATCAAACAAATCAAGTGATCGACTTTTGCTTTTATTTTAATGTGTACCTACAACATTCTAATCAAAATGGTATTTTAATAGAAATAGAGCAGTATGAAATAAAATGTTTTACATTATTTGTATGTCAAATCAATTTACGTTACTCGTTTCGAAATTCCTGCCTCAGCTACGCTTCGGCAGTAAACATCTCACTCGTAAACCTTGATTTACCATACTCATATGTAAATAACTATAAACGTCCATTTGAGTAGGGACAAACTGGAATTCCCATCCCGTACGCTTATACCTCCGATACGTTCAAACAAATTGAAACTGTTTTTAATTAATTACGTCTTTCCCAGACGTCTTAAAAATACGGGATCGGTGTCAAAATTCAAGTGAATTAAGAGCGCTTCTTTTGAGCTAAGACTCAATCGGACGAGTCTGCAACTCATTTAAATGTCAATCGTTAATTATGCTTACGTCATTGAGCGCATCCCAACACCAATATTCGTTAATCCAATTAACACCTTTTTTATTGGAATTTAAGTGCAACCGGTGAGGTCAAGAATTCAAGATAGCACGCTGGTTACCCTCGCTGTACCACCTTCCAGCCGTCAAAACAGCTGTTCCACCCTGGCTTTATGGAACACATGGAATCTAAAACCGATTGTTAATTTCCTAATGAATCTGAAATCTTAAAATATTAGATCGGTGTCATTTTCCCCATACCAAGGGTAATTCGTAATAAAGCGCCAGTTCATATACCGGATGTTCCTTGATACAAGTAACTTCAAGGCGAACAATAACTCATTTCCATTAATTGAAAAATTCCTACAGAAATTCTAAAACAATTAATGTTATCAATTCACATCATTACAACCTAACAACAATACCTATGGTAACTCGTATGGTAATATACAAAATCTTAAAATTCTACACTCTTACACAGCGGAAAATACATACTGCATAGGATTGTTACCAGGACGAAAATTGTTCGGCGGGGAAATAACCGTCGGTTTTGGTGGGTAAAATAAGCAGAGAGCCTTAGTTGACAATATTTCGAATTTTAAAAAAAAGTATAAATATAACACTATTTAATCCTCAATACCAACATATAGATTGCAATGAGTTTTCAACAAGATCGTTTGTTATTACCTATTTTCCCAGTTGGTTACCACGCAATAATTTCCAATTTACTAATTAATTTACCATAATTACATGCAAACGTTTATTTCATTTTCAGGTGAATGGTATTGTACTGCATGGTCGATGTCATCTGAACGCATCAGCAATTATTAAAGGCCTAGCTGGACCGGTATTTAAAATAGTCATATTAAGGTAATTATTTATATTCTTGACTTTTTTTAATACACAAAAGGAACTTTACATTAACTATTGAAATATTCTATGGGATTGCGCATTAGATGATTTTACTCCCGTCCAAAACATATAGATAGTGCATACCGAGCGATAAAAAGTGGTTCACACAAAAAGGCTGCCACTCCACTATTCGTGACTGAAAATGACTTCAAAAATTAGATCTACAAACAAAATTGCATTTATTTTCACGAACGGTATTTATTTTTTAAAATAATATCATACGCTGTTAACGTATCTAACGTCAAGGCAAAGTTTGATTTAAAAAGTTTGATTACCAGAAAGAAAATATTACAACTGACTTTCCTTTATAAGCTTATTCGAAGTTTCACAGATGATAGTGGATTAGTCAGTCAAATTCGGTTTATCGCCCATTCGTACTCCAGTCGTTCGAGATCATTATTTCATATCCCATACGCTCGTACAAATGCCCTCAAACATTCACCATTAATTAATAGGTATAGGTATATGTTGCGCACATACCATAATAAATTAGCACCACAATTGGATGTATTTGGAGATTGCCTTCAGGAATGTAAAAAGAAATGGTATCTGCACGTACTGTAGAGAATCGTATAACAATTTGTAACTAATAAATGTGTTTCGTGATTCCGTTGCTCAAATCATATCACTCGTTAATTTTCTCAATCAGATGAGTATAGATACAGAATACTTTTTTGTTTAAATTTCAAATATTGTTAGCCGTGATCGTTAGATATCTTATTCATATTTCATTTACGTTATTAGTTCTTTGTTGTGTCATCTGTAACTAGTAGTTACTAACTATTAATTACTAACTATTTTTATTTTATATTTTTTGTACTTTGTTCTGAGATATATTTCATTTTACTCACTTAAACTAATGTATGTATAGGTACTGCTCAACAGTAATTGAGGTAAAATCTGTAGTTGCGCAAGCTAATTTCATCAATAAATTAACTATTTTTGAATCACACAATCGACTTCCCCAAATTGCACAACACTCTAAATTTACTGGGTTCGTAAACACACGTAACAAAGCTCAAAAGCAATTACAAGCACCTTAAATCTAAAATTAAACTCCCACTTTCCCTAACACTACTTAAATTAATTCTACCCTCGATTCTACCCACAACAAATTCAATGTGAATGTGTGAATAAATGCTATTTGATTAGTCTAATTTTTGTAATGTGTCGATGTGGTCCGCTTTAAATGATACTTATGTATTCACTTAAAAGAATCTCTTTATGCAACGTATTCGAGGATGATTGACAGCAAGCATTTGGACGAGAAACAATTTCGAGCAAAATAAACGTCTTTGTCAATTGATTTGATTGTATTGTAGTAAACTTCCCATTTCCAACCAGAAACGTTTGCTTAGGTAGGTATATTTCTTTTGTTTTAGACGCAAAGCTGCCATTAACGATATTGCCGTCCGTCCTCTAACTCAATTTCCAGTCACATTGGAAGAAGAGGAGGTCAGTATTATTTTGTATTGAGCGATACAATATATCCTATATGATTATGGAACGGGAGCGTTATAATTTCTCATTGATGCAAGGAGAAGCATTGTGTATCTGTGTGTACGTTTTGGCCAATTTTCGTTATACTGGTCAGGCCAGAAGGGTACTAAAATTAATATCCTGAAAGCATTCAATATCGTACATGTCCAGTCAGTAATACAGGGCTTAACAATTATGTTTAAAAAAATTTAAGATAGCTAGAGGGGATTAAAAGAGTTTCGTTTGGGAGGCAGGTCCTCAAATGTCCCCAAGTTTGAGTTTATTTTTAATTGTTCACAGCAACCATAACACATAGGCCTTTTTTAGGTTTTGGGGTTTGCTCGTTCCGATTTTCTAAAAATTTTCTAAAACTTCCTACCTCAAGATGACGTACACGGCGGTGCCGTCGAAGTTTTATTTTGATCGGTGGCCGATCTTTCGATTTTTTTGCCGGTCGGCGATTGATCGTTCGTGTGCAAGAGCTCTAACTGACCCCTAGTTTGTCTAAGCACCACATAGTCCAACAACACCTTAATCTCAATCTCATTTTCAGTATTTCGACCCAGATTTCAATTATTCGTCGTCTCGTCGAGTAAATGCACTACTGAACACACATGTAGTAGAAACACAGCTTAAATAGTAGGTAAACTGCGAAACTCGATGCAAAATGGCCGCCAATCTCAAGAACCAATCAGAAATTTAGAGACTCTATTGTCGCCATTGTCTCTATAAAGTCACTGTAACACAAACTACAGTGACTGTATTAGAACAGTGGCGACATCTTATTATAATCCCTGCCCATCTGCCATATTGGGGCTAACAATTGAGCAGCACAACCAACTTTTTGTAATTAATTTCTATTGACTTTAAACACGCCAAACTATATCTTTATATAGAAACGAATGTCCACAATAAGCATTTTACCTTAAGCAATACCTTTATTCGCAGAATTTCGCAAAAACATAAAAAAAAAAATGTAAACGCCTATACCAAACCATAGCAATTTAGCCCCAATATGGCGACCGGAACCAACGACCAATCAAAAACGAGAGTTGTCACCACTGTTCTAAATTAAGTCACTGTAACAGAAACTAAAGTCACTAGATATAGAAAGTACCGCAATCATCCGCCATTTTTGGGCAAATTTGCTGCCAACTTAGAAAAATTGACAAATAAAATCTGAATAGCTGTAATTTTTTATAACCTAACTTCATAGTACTGTCATGTTTTATACAAATATATACAGATATCTCCAAACAGGTGGAACAATTCCTAACATTAAAGTTACTAGAATCTGGTAACTTCCGCCATCTTTGTGCAAAAATCATGCGTTCTCTCTCTAACACACGAGCCCAATGGATTGCGGTACTTTCTATATTTAGTGACTTTAACAGAAACTACATCTGCACGACTTCTAGCGGGAAAACAAAGAACTATGAAATAAAAACTCTACCAACTACTACAGTGAGCTTACACGACGATGGCGTAAAGGGTATATTTAAGAATCTTAAAAAAGGACTTTACAACCTCCATTTAAAACGACGCGATTCCGACTACCTCGTTTTGCCTTGACACACACGGCTAGGTACCTGCCCAAAGTGAGTGAACAAGGGAAGGAGACTGTATCGGAGTCGGAGATTAGAGGCAGTGCTAAAGTAGCAGCTTTGAGATACGGGAGGAGGATCGAAACAATTTGCTCGCACGGTAAGACCAAATTTGCCTTGAATTGTTCGAAAAATGAATGTTACTACACAGATGAAGGACACCAAGATGAATTCCTTGACAGAAGCTGGTCGCACTATACCATAGTTGAGAACTTTTTTGTATATCTCGATTTTAAAAATTTTCAATGTGAAAGGGAAGCACCGAATTTACAATCCCTGTCTTTCTCTAAGAGGTTGATCAACGTCGTCAAAATTTTTGAAGTGTTCTTCGAACCGGGCATGTCTTTTACGACAGACACCTCCCAATACCAGTTCCATTGTCCTCGAAAACGTTGCCGGGGCGTTGCGCAGACCAAAGGGCATGACCGCGGCACTATGCTAAAGGCTGTCTTCTCGCGAGATTTAAGATCTAAATCAACTTGCCGCTTTTCATATCTAAAGTGGAAATCCACTTAGCACCGGTAAGTAAATGTATCTACCGTGTAATCGATTCGAGCTAGGAAAGGTATAATTATCCTTTTCTGTTACGTTGTTCAGTTGCATACAATCCACGCAAAACGTCGTGCTACCACCTTTCGACTAGTGCCGCAGACGAAATCCAAGCTAGATGGTCCCTTGAGGAGCCATTCCGCCGATGATCTTCTTGGCTTCTTCGCGTTTAGCTCTGCATATTGCTTCGATCCACAAGTCGGTTTTCTGAAGCAAACACGTCTTGGCAGTAGGTAATTCTTTCACTACACCGAACTGAAACTTCTAGAAAGTTATCGATTGTCGGCATATCATATTAATAACAAAAAATGAGTTAGGTACATCCGCTTATCGCCGCCGAGTAATCCTTCATCGACTATATGACGCCTCGATAACGTTCTAGAAGGTTCGCAACAGTATGCGGGTTATAATTACTCGTTATACCCGAATAACTGTAACAGAACACCATGCATATTATATCACAGAAAGCAGCACATGCACAACGTGCTGGCAAGGCAACAACAGCTTCAATTTTTGTAACATCAACTGCAGCCGTAAACGATGGTAATAACATTGGTAATAAATTCCTTTCTAAACAAAAATACTTGAAACAACCAACCGATATGTATCAGTATGATACGTTCTCCATAAGAAATAGCACAAAGTAGAGGTTTCCAACTCCGTAACATCAAAACAACAATCGGCATTTCATTATTTTCTCATCTACATGATTAAATGTTATACTTATAGGTATGTAATTAGAGGGAACTAATGATGAAATGACAAAGTAGTGAAATAAAAAATAATTTTGCGATTAAATATTCAATAAAGAGAATGTACGATTTTTGTCGGTTCTTGTTTATTTCAATAAGGGTGCATAGATTAATGAGCTGAGTATAACGCTCCTGTTACTATTTCTCCTTTTTTTAACTACTGAACTCTTAAGTGGATATTTTAATTTTTTAGACGAATGAAGAGCGATTTTCCGGATACCCCAACGTGAGAAACGTGGTTGTAGAAAAAGTAAGTAAATATTTAGCGCTCTAAGAATAAAATGAACTTCATGATGGAATGTAGGTTACAGAAAACATGTATTAATATTAAATATTGAGTTAGATATTATTAAAGCACATTGTTAGGTAAATTATATTATGAATATGTATCTTGACACGCACATCTCCATTACATAATAATGAGAGGGCTATTTTAATGAGGCTATATCTTAACGTTCCAATATTGGAATATATAAGTATCGTTATGTAAGTTGATAGATTTAACAGTGAGCATTAGCGAAATTGGATTCGAAAATATTTAATCTACTCAAAAGGGATGAATATCCAGAAATATAAATCGTCTCATTAAATTTCCATACAAAAGTGCCACGATGAAACGGAGGTTGCACGATACAACTTGTTGGAGAATGTGAAGCACTTAATATGAACAGTGGCGGATTTAAATTTTTTGCGCCCCTAGGCACACCGAAAGATATGCGCCCCAAAATAATCTTTAAATGGCAATAAATTTTAAAATAAAAATCAAATTATAAGATGAAATTTTTAAAACTAATATGAAAAGAAATACAGTATACCTAAGATTAAGTTTTCACCCTGGTTTTCACACACGTCAAAACTTGCATTGTCGATTATCATTCTTACAGTTGCAGTTTGTTTAAACTATCTACCAATTCCAATTTATTTCATAATTTTAATTAAAGATTTTTGTCATTTGTGACTTCTTAGGGGACTTATTTTAAAACTTAAAATGTTACCTAAAATAAATATAGGCACGTGCCTAGTGTGCCTATATGTAAATTCGCTACTGAATATGAATCTAAAATTGTCGTTTGGATGAAATGATAGTGAATATAAATGGGGTGTGTTTTTGGCCTCTAACACAAACAAAAAATTAGTATGATTCGACTCGAGTTTCTAGAAATCCTCCCCCCAATCCCTCGCCGACCATGGTCGACACCTTCAAGCCCTCAACTATTTCGCTGAAATTCTCCGGTTCTCCATCTATTGTATGCCAGTTTATGTTATTAACGCATGCCTAATAATGTTAATGCTAGGACCAGGAAAAAATACCGGTAGGCATGAGATCCTTACTCCATTCTCTTTCAAATGAGTCGCCTATCGTCGAAGTCTATACAGTTTAATGAAAAATAGTGGAGCGTATACAAATACAAACAAATTTTGAAATGGGCATTACGAGTAGTTTTACTTTTATTCGAAGTGTCTACATATGGAACTTTTTATAAATGCTGTCGTAAATAGCATTGCGCATGGTCTACATTAGAAATTTCATTGAATACCTTCATAAATAAAACAGCATGCGTTAACAGTAATTTTGAAACCGGTATTAGTTTTAGTTTCATTCAAGGTGCCTACATATATTTCGTTTAACTGCTTTCATAAATAAAAAAGTTGCCATTGCGCATGCGCAAAACAAAATTTTAAAACTGGTGTTAGATTTGCTTGTATTCCAAGTGCATATGTATAAAATTTCATTTAAATATCTTCATAAATAAAAAAGTTAGCATCGCACATGCGTTAAACCAAATTTTTGACACTGCGCATGCGGAAAACCAAAAATATGGGTATGCACGGAATCCTTGGACCAAAACCCTTTCAAATGAGTCCTATATCGCCAAAATCGGTTCAGTGGTTTAGAAGGAGTACCTACGTGTGACGGACAGACGAACGGACGAACGTCAAAGTGCAGCCGATAGCGATTTTTCACTTGAGGAAAATACGCTAAAAACTGGAGTAAGATTTGCAACCACGCCAACCAGCAGAAATTTCTTTAACAATGTCCAATTTCGGTTCGTGGAATGATAAAATTGAAATATATAATAAAATACAAAAGAGAGAAGCAAAAAGGAATAATTAATCCTCTCAGCTAAATGTAATGTAATGTAATTTACGTTAGCTGCTTGCATATTCCAAACTTAATCCCAATTACAAATAATTGGCGTTAGCCGGACCCCTGACTAAATTTTATGTAATAATAATTAGCGTTGGTCGGGCACATAATTTCGCAAAGGCCACATTTTAGGTGAAACAAAGTAATGGCAAATGAGAAGAAATTACCTGGCAGTCCTCCTAAGGTGAAATTTGAACTTAATTAACAAATGCCGTTTTTTTTTCTGTTATTGATTTCGTTATATAGTCGAGTTTTGGGTAGGCGCAATCTATGACCATAATGAAAATTTATTAGCGTTGAAACTGTATAAGTACCATAAACAGCGTTCCTTAAAAAAAATTGGTTTATATTATTGACGGGGGTTGGAACTGCAACGCATTAGCTCGAAGTGGGAATTTCTAAACCCGTAGGTACATTTAGAAAATTATCGAATATGAGTTACTGAATAATGAATTTATTTAGCTAACCCACGTCAATACCTACCTATAATCATCGTTTATTTTAACTTTTTAGCGCATTTTTGCAAATTTATTTGTAAAAAGTAGCTTTTAATCTCACTTTGGCTGGCTGGCTGGCTGGCAGCAAATGTGGGCGCGTAGAAGAACTCTTGTAGAAAGGCAACGGGTGTACGTGTATCTACAAGGTCGTGTAATTTGTCAACCTTAGGGACAGGGCTACACGATGTGGGGTTGGCAACATCTGGGCGTCATCCTCGAGCGCAGTTTACTAACGTGAAGGTTTTTCAGTTTTTTCCTATCTTCTACTACAGTTTTGGTCCGATTCTTTTCAAATTGGTATCGTCGGAAAGATGTTGTAAACGCGCATAACTCCTGCGTGGCGGAATTTTGTTTTTTGTCCTAGGGGAGAAATTATCGACCTTTTGCGAGGCGCGCGCGCGCGTCTTCGAGAGGTAGTCAACTTCGGGCGCCTTTTACCTTCCGTTGCGAATTTTGTCACGCGGTTTAACGTTTCGTAAATCTCGAATCGCTGTCTCTCTTTCTCGTGTCGCCAATAGAAGCTCGAGCAATGAGAAGTGGCCCATAAGTACTATCTTGTGGAAGGTTTTTAGCGAAATCCACCAAAATGTGGGTGTAATATAAGTATGCACCGAAAAAAGAAATGTGGTAGCCTCCGACAAGATCTAACTGATGGTGGAGTCAAATCTTCAAACGCGAATTGCGGGTGAACGGGAGGTTGGAAGTGGGTACCAACAAAGGGAATGTGGTAGCCCGCGAGTTATTGCCACGAATGAAGAAGAACCTCAAGGGAAAGTATTTCGCCCACGTGGAGGAGGTGAAGGGGAAAACGACGGAGGCGCTTGCAGACATCAACGTAGATGAGTTTAACAAATGTTTCGACAAGTGTATTGCCGCTAACGGAGAGTACTTTGAAGGAAATGGAAGGAATTCTCTACAAGTTTAATACACGTTTCAAAAAAAACTTTTCTGGAAACTTTTGGGTACTCCCTCTTATTATAGAAAATAAAAGCGCGCTTGGGTTCGAACCCACGTCATCGACCGTTGTAAATCGAAAAAAGAGCTACGACCGTCTTCTTAATATTGGTTTACCTTTACACTGATATAATATATACCTAATACGTATAAATGATAAGGATAATCTTTATATATAAAACAAAGTCGTGTATGTTACACCCGGTTACACCACTTACAACACAAGAACGGCTGGATCGATTTTTATGATATTTGATTTGTTGGATTGATGTCCGACCCGAATAGTAGAATAACTATTAAAATATAGAAAAAAAAACATGAAAAAAATATAAATAAAATTATTATAAAAGTAATGCATATTTAAATGTACACATTGTAATTTTGCAACAAATCTTCAACATATTCTGAAACGACTTCAACGGATTTAAAATGTGCACAGTGTGATTATACCAGGAACTCTGTACCATACGAAAGATCACGCATCTCCACTATTCATCTTCTATTAATTAGTCTGTTAGTGCGCCACGGAGCCAGTTGGCACCTCTTGCGGGCTCTAATTTAGTCATCTGCGCATAGCCCGCTGTAGCTTTCCTACATGCTAGTAAAGTGGTACCAGTACAAAGCAGTTATTAAATAGGTATATTTCATATATTTAAAATCTACACAGTGTGATTTACTGATTTTGCAATACGCCACCACCATGTCCTGAAACGGCATCTCTTAACTCACAAAACCCCAATGAATTTAAAATGTGCACACTGTAATGGCATATTATATGGAAATGAGGCAATGTCCATGTAGCCATCATACGTGGTTCGCTGGGACTGCTAGTAAATAATAAATAATAAATAATACTTAATAAATAATAAATACTTAATAAATAATACATAAAAGGTTAATAACTATTTATTTATCAAGTGTGACATACGGTTTTTTATCCTCGCGAGAAGAGTTTAATTTCCCACGACTTTGGCATACCATGCATACCGAGCGATAAGAAATAGTCACTTCACTTCCAAAATAGAGAAATTCGTAATTCAATATTTAGAGAACCTATTAAATCTATCATACCGTGTGCTGTCAGGATGCGCGGTATCTGTTGTATTACACAGGAAAGACCTACATCAACTTGTTCAGTGTTCCCTTTTGAAGATTGACCTTTGCGCCGTGTAACACAACATGCATACACCATGCATCTGGACAGCACACGGCATGTTAGATTTCATATTTTCTAAACCTCCATTTTTTGTATATCAACCATATGCATATTTTATGTTGATTGCTCCTTTCAAAGATCATAAAAAAACATAGGCGTTGCATTTGAAAAATGAAAGTTGCATCGATGTTTGGTTTAACCGGAAGTGATTAACCTATAATTGGACCGTATTTTTCATCCCTGTATACGTCCGGCGCATGAATTTCTCATTCAAAATTGTATTCTTATCTTCCACGTTTATGCAAAAAATTGCATTCGAAATCTATGCATGTAGAAAACACTGCAATTTTAGAAATGAGGAATTGCAATTGACGTCATCAAAATACCTTGCTTTAAAATGAAATTTATTAATCATTACCTATATTAGTACCTACAGTTAAATATAGTATTGAAAACGTAAAGATTGACTAATTACGGAAGAGGCGTGCGGTTTTCAAAACTTAAACCTACGTAATCAGCCAAATCTTGGTGTAACGTATTTTGTGTTCACAGGGAAACCATAGCTTGGGTATAATGATAATTGAAGGAAAACATTCGGAGATGGGTCAGGGAATTTTCATATCCGACATCCTGGACGACAGTATCGCCGATAAGGTATACATTTATTATCTTAAAAATTCAACTTTAATTCATTGACGTTGTACAGGCTGGATTGGAAGTGGGGGAGATGATATTAGCAGTGAATAAGGAAGTACTTCTAGGAGCTAACTATGACACTGTAAGTTGATTAGGTAACTTTTGAGTTGTGTCATTCGCTTTCCCTCAATCTCACCGAATGCATCAATTTCTGACATGAAACTGAAAGTATTTTATAATGCATTTTGTTGCCAGGCGGCCAACACTTTAAAACGTGCTGAAGGGGTTGTTACATTAGTATTATCAAATCCAATAAGAAAGCTTGCTTCAAATGATCAAAAAAGGGTTACAATAGACGACCGATCAGAGATAATACCGAACTCAGCGGGTGCAAAGATTTCGTCCACACCTAGAGCTACAACTCCAATTCCACCAATAGGTATGTACTAGGTACAACATGAGGGGTTATTAATTATTGTGTTTTAGACGTTGTACGGCCACCTTCATCGTTAGCGGAACCCATTGTTCCAGGTAAATCCAAATTACATAAGGTACTTATATTATTTTTCTTGTCTTGCGTGCTCAATAATGATCGTGCAATTTTATACTGAATCCTCATTCCTCCTGGGGTTGCCCCATTGCCGATAATCCACTTAAATCTCATTCACTTAGGGAACACGCCACCGAGCTCACGTTAATTAAGTTCGTCTCCTGACGCTAGTCAGTAACCTTCGCTAATGTCTATGATTGATTATTTTAATTAACTACAATCGACTTTAGAGTATTTACTGTAAAGGTTCACTAAATTCACGTAAATCACTGAATGGGCTCCACTGTTAGACGTACAACATCAAACAATTTTTTGTTATCCTGATGAATGCCCTTACGAAAGTAGGCGAAACGTTTAAGTTCAACATTGATACGCTCCCTATCTCGGAAGTCGCTCGCATCTCAATGACACTGGCAAAAATTTTTAATATTACAATTAAATTTAATTTGTCCATGTTTTTGACCTTACATTGCGGAAGTTTGGCCATTACTGTTAGCGATCGGGAAAAAAACTTCTTTATTTATCACAGTGAGTGTATTTGATTCCGTTGTTTATTTGAAAAGAGGCTCTTCGACTCGAAAATGTCCCTTCGCGTATATTTTACCACTCGTACCTTGCTACGAATTAGGCTAACTTCCGCTTTAAGATAAAATGAAGCTTGCAGGGAACTCACTCTGTCACTAATCTGTTTCAATTACCGCGTCCTAACGACGCGATTGAGAAATCACGTTCATGTTTAAAATTTTTTCACTAAAAATAAGACTGTTAACACTTTATCGCTACTTGATTTTTACACACGAGAAAAGCGCAAGATGATAGTACGTAACCGCTCGCAAAATTTGCGCGCAATTATGCGAAAATAACATTCTCACACAAATATCATGTCTTTGAAAATCTAACTTCGTATATCGAAAACCCCCTTACAATCCGGTCTAAAAAAATATTATCTTGAAAATTCGCGGTTGGTTATCGCTTTTACTTCCAAACATATCTTCGATCACGGTCGCTATGAAGCGGTTAATGTGTAAATTTTCCTTTGTTGAACAAAATACAAATTTAAAACCAAATCTTTGAAATGGCAAAGTGACCTCCTGTTACACTAGTATAATGGATAGCTCTTTTGATTTCTCAACATTAGATGATCCGACGGTAAATGCCAGTGCTTCAGAAATGTTCATTCTTCTAGTTTTCAGGTCGGTCTTCAGCTTAACCTCACATGTTTCAAAAAAATTTCCACTGTCGTTCGTATTTATCGTAATAGTTTCTAATTCGCAAATTATCACTGAAATATAAAGGTCAAACTTTAGTTTATAAGAGCCCTGTGATAAATTACAGGGGGTTGACTTAACTGCGCTGGTGGTTCAACGCGAATTTGAATAACAGAACACCATCCATCCTGCGATAAATTACCGGTGGCTGACTTAAGTCAGTCGTCAGTTACAAAATTCTTAGTTGCGGATCGCAACTAACACGTATATCAGGCTTGCACGTGGTGATTCAACGAATCATGAAATTTTCCAGGAAAATAGAATGGACAAAATTAATTTTCTTTCCCCTACTTTCAAGCTAATTTTACAACCCCTCAAAGTCCGATACCTATTAAGTGGACTCGAATAATTTTGCGTGAAATTAAATCGCACCGGCGCCGCCAGCGGCTAGGTTTTTAATTGATGCACACGCCAAAACCACACATTCCATAAGACAATTTCACAGAAAAGAACAAGTTGAAGCGCCAATCGTCTTCATTTCCTTACTCCAATCAAGTGCGTATAAAGGGCATCTATCAAAACCCACCAGATGTTCAGATCAGTTAGTGACTAGGTAATTTTGATTAGCTGCTTTGGTTACGTAAAAGACATGATTGTTACCGCTCGTCAGACTGGCGCTGATAACTTTTCATCATTTGCCAATGACTCACAATAGATATGGACCGCCCAAAATTTTGGAGTAACCAGTCTTTTCATGGAAACACCCCGTATACTTCCTAATACACTTTAGGGCCAATTGCACTGTCAACAATAAGTATCCCTTAAAGTTAAGCATACATAACTTAAATACCATAGCAACGTCTTTAATAATCGTTGCCGTGGATTTTAAGTTCGACTTAACTTTAAGCAAGGCTTAATTTTGTTGGTGCAACTGGGGCTGAAACACTTAAAACTGAGCTACCCTAAATATAATTCGGAAAAAAATAACCACATTCAAGGCCTCCCGTTAAAAATGCCATTGAAAGGCACCGTACTACAGTATCGTATGTCGTTTTAGCGTAGTGGTATAATATATGTACGAACAAAATTATTTAAGACTTAGAGTGTGAAAATTGAAGATCCTGTTTGTCCATATTAGAAGATCCGACAACATGCAGCATAACACCAGGGAAAGAAACTACGATTGAAGTGAAATCAAACAATCACGCTATGGGTCTCTTCCTGGTTGGTGGCAAAGACACGCTTATTTCGGTAAATACTTTGGTGGACACTTTTGGAAAACCTCTCGTTGGTTGTTTTATGGGCACGCTAAATATTGTTTGTTTTAGGATAAAATTATCGTATTAGAAATATTACCTGGTGGTGCAGCCGATAAAGACGGTCGCATACAAGCGGGTGATCAAATATTAGAAGTCAACGGTACTTGCCTGAAGGATGCTACAAATGAAACAGCGCTTCAAACTCTACGCCAAATACTGCCAAAGGTAAATGATAAATGCCATATTTCTTACCATAATTAATGTGATTTCAGATAAAATTAGTTATTTTAAGACCAAAGTCTGCTGAATGTGTTACAATAGAAGCAGATTTAGCTAGAAAGCCGGGTAAAGGTTTGGGATTAAGTGTAATTGGTAAAGCTTCCGGAAAGGGTGCCTACGTGTCCGAAATTGTAAGTACCATTTCATATTTAAGTTTATGAATAGAAACTTTTAAACTAAAACAATAACTTAATTATTAACATAAACTATACAAAAATGAGGGAAAACATTGAACATTTTGGATGTAGGTAGGTATTATTACAATTTTTGGTTCTTTTTCAAAAGCTCAAATTGACAACACCTAAGTTTTAAATGCTAAAGAAATCTGATAAAATAATTAAAGATTGATGATTCTCTGGATATAAAACAGGATTATTACGGGAAGTTTGATTCCACTTTACCCGATGTTCAATTTCGGTAGAAGAGTGAGAAGGTTTTGGGGATTGTGAGAGGCACGCCGTCACTCATGCCAATTGCAGACTGTTCCTCACACCCTCGTAGAGTAATTGAACAAAATGGCTTTCATTCAAAGAATGATTTATTGACAGTGTTTTAACGTTACTTGCATCTACCCTACTCACATTGTATAATAATACTATCCTAACTTTTAACACATTGTTTCAGTCTAAAATCTAACTACAATTTATTACTTATTTATTGTTATGGTGCATCTGTTTAATCTATGATTAAACACGCGATCTTGCATTTGTTCGAAGTTCTGCAGTCGATTTTAGATAGAAATGAGCAAGCACACATTTTTAGACTTTTAGATAAATTATTAGGACTAGAGGGATCCTTATACCTCTACGGAACCGAGAGAAGGAGAAGGGGGCGCTCGTCGAATATTATTATTTTCCGGTGCTCTTCCTATATTTTAAACATTCACAAATCAAAATCACAGCGGGGGACGAAAGTAAATAGAGTATAATTCTACATTTTAGCACCCAGTCCGTTCATATAGGGATTTACACAAAGGGGTGGTTTCTTCGCGCGAAACATTAAAAAAGAGCAGCAAATGAAAAGGAGTTTTCGTGTAGTGTGAAGGTAAAGTTGCCGTAGCTCAGAAAATGTGCGCCGCGAAAGAGTCAATTGTATACTTTTTTCAGATTACTCAGGCATCATAATTTCAAAAAATTCAAAATCACAACCCTCGTCGACATTGTTTTGCATTTTTACATTAATTTCTGTTGGCACAATGGGATAGATCTTTCCTGTGGGGTACATATAACTCTATCTATGGAGGAAGGGGGCAAAATTTCAATCGAGGTAACATGGTCAAATGGTTATGGATCATACAGGGTGCCCATTATGTATGGAATTATAGTATACAGGGTGTTAATTTTAAAAGTTGCAGTCGGCCTATTTTCCAAACTAAAGAAGATATTGAAAATCGCGAAAAACAGTTTCGGGGGTATCGAGGGGGAATGAGAATGACGTTATGAGTGACAACCCCCCATCCTCTCTTAACCCCCCAGCGCCCCCTTCTTCAAAAATCCTAAATGGTAACCCCATACTTGTGACACATCGTTGGAAAGCTACTGAAAATGCTTTCCAGTGGTACCCATAAAGTCAAATATTCATTAAGACAATTTAACAAAAATTTAATAATTAACAAAAAAAAAAGAATTAAGCCAAGATTTGGTCGCTAAATTCGAAGAAACGGAATTTGTTATCAATAAAAAAAAGAAAGCAATTGTCTTTAATGAATATTGACTATTGGTACCACTGGAAAGCATTTTTCAGTAGCTTTCCAACGATGTGTCACAAGTACAAGTACGAGGTTGCCATTTAGGATTTTTGAAGAGGGGGGGGTGGGGGGTTGTCACTCATAACGCCATTCTGGTTCCCTCTTCATACCCCCGAAACGGTTTTGCGTGCTTTTCAGATCTTCTTTAGTTTGGAAAATACGGCTGACTGCAAGTTTTAAAATTGACACTCCGTATATCTCGGTAAATATCGAATGTATATAACGTTTGAAAGTTGTTTAACATTTTATTTCCCATAATAAGCCAACATTCAGTTGTTAGAAATAAATGAGTAACGAAAAACAATTAAATTTTTTAAATGGCAATGCACCTTTTCATTAGACTCATTTGATAAAGATTTTTTTCTCTTTTCTATGATATAACATGTTAGTACCCATATTCAAGAAAATTTTTCAAAGAAAATTTATCATAATTAGATCAATAACATTAACCCAGATACCCTACATCAATACAAAACAAATGAACGCGTACGTTTCTTATTAAACCTTAAAGACAAAACGAAATTAGCAGTACAATGGTTTTCATCGCAATGAATATTCAAAACATCATTAACTGCGAGGCAGTGTCATTCATAACCTATCACAAAAAGCTTGAAATAAAAAATAATTTTTTCTATACGGGTGCTAACGTGTTATGTCATTGAAAAGAGAAAACAAGTTAAAAAGCCATTCTGCAAACATAATTGACGATAATATTTCCTAATAATATTAATGCTAGTATTAATAACGCAGGCTTATATAAATTCAAACAAAATTTAAAAAGAAATCAAATCAGTTTCGTAACAAATGCCAGGACCAGGAAAAAATACCGGTAGGCGTGTTCCTTACCCCATTCTCTTTCAAATGAGCCGCCTATCGTCGAAGTCTATACAGTTTAATGAAAAATAGTGGAGCGTATACAAATACATACAAATTTTGAAATGGGCATTAGTTTAACTTTTATTCTACATATGGCAGCCTTGGCTAAAACCCCGCCCACTCAAAAATAAAGGCAAAATAAAATAAAATAAAAATAAAACTTTTTATAAATGCTTTCGTAAATAGCATTGCGCATTGTCTACATTAGAAATTTCATTGAATAGCTTCACAAATAAAATATAGAGCATGCGTTAACAGTAATTTTGAATGTCGTTAATTTTACTTATATTCGTAGTGTTTAGATATAAAGTTTCATTTAAATATCTTCATAAATAAAAAAGTTAACATCGCACATGCGTTAAACCACATTTTTGACACTGCGCATGCGCAAAACAAAAAATATGGGTATGCACGGAATCCTTTCAAAAGGGTCCTATATCTCCAAAATCGGTTCGGTGGTTTAGGAGTACGTGTGACGGACAGACGGGCGGACATCAAAATGCAGCCAATAGCGATTTTTCACTTTGAGGAAAATACGCTAAAAATCTCTATCAAATGCGCCTAATGAAAGTGTGCATCTCTATTTAAAAAATTCAATTGTTTTTCGTTATTCATTTGTTTTCTGAAATAAAAACAATGGAATCCTGCCTTATTATGGGAAATAAAATGTTAAAATTTTGTATACAGTCGATATTTACCGATATATACTATATTCCATACATAATGGGCACCCTGTATGTTAAACACTCGTTCAACTTTAAACGCTCGCATTTCTCGAACGGTAACAAATAGAACAAGAGTACTATCGGCCAAGATACGTGCACGTTGGTCCATCCAAAGAGCGGTCACTGTGCCATGTCGGTGTTTGGCAGGCTTAGGAAAGAGGATTACACGATTGGTGGTTTATACTCGAGACCTCGTAAAGAAGGACTGTAGGTAGCGAACACTGAACGCCCGAAACGGGTCATGTCGAGGTTTTTGAATCGCTTAGATTCAAACTCGCCTTCCTTTTCACTCGTCGATCTTATTTCTGGCCCCAAAAACAATTATCTGTTTACAATTTACGTATACCGGGTGAAGTATTGAAATGCAAATGCTATTTTCAGATAAGTAGTTAAGAGCAAATTTTTTAAAAACGTTGGAATAGATCAATTTTGTGTTCGAAGGTGATATTGAAATGCAACTTCCTCACTGATGTCTTCATACCTTAGCGTTAGGCCTACCTACAACCCATAAAATTAGGGTAAGTGACATATTTGGTTTGGAAAGGCCTTTCCTTCCTAGAATATTATGGGTCATTGTGCAATTTATATATAGTGTAATCTGTTCTCTATTCCTTAAAATGTCTAGATTCTATACCTATTCTGTTTGGAATAACATGGCCACCCAAACATATTTATAATGTTACTACTATACAGTTACTTACCTACAAATTTGTTGGACTGTTGCAAAAAAATCATAGCTCAACAACCGCAGCAGATAGAGATATAGATATAGAAGAAAGTGTGGTGGCCGTCGTAAAAAAATGTTCGATACGCGTTTTATCACTTCTTCGCCCTTGGAGAAGAAATTGTTGAAAGTGAGAGGTTATTAGTTTCAAGAAACGTAAGGTATAGATCCAGGAATTGCTTGAATTTTTTCAGAAAATTACACGAGTTGCGGTATTCTGGCGATTTTCTTCTTTTAAAAATTAAAACGCTCATTTCGAATTACAAGTAGAACATATGTTCCATTGGAGGTAGTACCGTTGGATGCGTACTTCTTAGATCCCGAAACCTCGTCTCCAAGTATCCGAGGAGGAAGCGTATCTCACAGAATGCAAAGCCTCCAGCAGAGTTGCCACAATGCCACAGGCTCTATTTAACTAATTTACATTATAATGACAGTTCCCTAATATATCATCGCCCATGTCATTTCCACAAGAATTTGTGCCCTCTGTTGTGAAACCCCATTCAGGCCCATACATCATATATCATTAGCATTCAATTCCATTAGTACCACGTCGGATTTTTATTAGGGGAATTTGTGTGATGGTTAATTGTCCGTCTGTTCCTCGTCTAACTCAAGAACGAAAAGAGACAGTGAAGTCATACTTTCGCCAATCGATTTTTATGAGTTCAAAGATCAGTGCTATTGAATATGAGCCAGGTAAAAAGTCTGGTTCCCAAATACGAGCCGAGTGGCAAAAAATTCCCCTACTGAAAATCGTATATGCGATTCTTCACGATGCGATTCTTGTTTGTGTATGCTTTAATTCTCATTGTACTATTATCATACATCAGAGCGCATGATTATGTGTACTTTAACGGAACTGTAGATATAGTTTTGTGCCATTTTTTCGTATTTTTCATTACTGTAGAAATTCTCATCATGTATATAACTTTCATTTAATTATTTTTTAGTTAAGTGGAGGAGTTGCTGACATCGACGGTAAGATAACGAAAGGTGATCTGCTCATCTCAATAAACGGACAAGATGTGGAAAACCTTAGTGCGGAAGAAATTGGTACATTGCTTAAAACCATTACCGGCAGAACTCTTCTCAAACTCCGACGATATAAACCAATTTCTAATTAAATCGAAACAATGCATAGCTCAATATTTTATAAATAATAACTCAAGTCCTTTGTAAATTAACATCGAATTAAAAAAAAAATGAATTTTTCCCTATTTTTACAAGAATTGTTCGAGACGTTCCCATTAATAATTACCAGACGTTTGTACTTTTCTCTTGGAAACGACGTCGATAATTTTTAATGTGAAAATTGTACGCTTATTTAAGGAGAATACGATTACTTAGTTGTTACGCCAAAAACCATGTATTTTGGTGCAAGTATTGTAATACTACTTGATGAAGTTTATGACAAATGTAGGCAGCATACATTTCATTTTCTGTGTAAGGAATTTCTGACCAAATAATTTTAAATATCGGCTCATATAAGTAATACACTTCATACAGTAAAATATTGTAGATTGTGCACTCTTAATTTATTTGTTACATTTGATGTTCATAATTCTCATCATGTGCATGAATATTTTTTTAGAATATAAGTAGACGATATACTTACCTAGTCAATACCTACACATACATATACTTCTCTTAATTTCGAATTACTTGGCGCATTTATGCCAAAATTATACCATATAAGATACAGAACCGTTTAGTTCCTTTTTCGTGGAAACAATTTCTTTCCTAATATTGGATGGGATATTCGCATAGTTTGCGAAACAGGCTTTCATTGTATAGTGCATATAAAGTTAATGCCTAATGGCCTGGAAAAGTAGGTACTCTTGCCGTAGGGAAATGTGTGCAATAGCTAATTATGTTATCTGTACTGATTCTATGGGAATTCTAACTAGCAAATTGCAATGCAATAAAATATTGTCAATAGCTGTTAAACTGTAGCGCTATAATTTTTAATATATTTAGAAATTATTTTATAAAAAAAAACGTGTCAAAAATCTTATATTTAAACATTTCAATTATTAAAGACTACTGTTAACTTTTTAAACGATGTTTCTCTTCATCTCGTACTTCTTTCTCTACTACTGGAAACAACAACTTTTTCTTGTATAGTGCGATGTAACTTTAATTATGTTAACTGATTCGAATTCTATTCTACGCTCTTTCATACACGCAAACATATTAATAATATCGTCATAGAATCTGGTCAACAAACATTTTTCAATTGATAGTAAAGCTAATCCGCAAAGGCGTTCTTGAGACATAGTGTTCCTTATCTCGTATACTGTTGTTTAATGGTAAGTGATCCTGAAATACCCTCCCGTCTTTTAACTGCGTTGAAAACCTTAAAGGCGCCTGAAAATCATGGGACATGCTGCGAGGTTGTATAGAATTATATATAATTTGGTTATAGGAAGGTACTGTTAGTGCTTTAGGGTATTGCGTGGAGTGGATCTGCTGAGCAGGCGAAAGATGGAGTTGATTTAATAGCCGTCAATGGATTTTATTGGATGAGGACATTTACGTCAAATGTCGTTCCTCGTACTCTCGTAGACGTTCCTTTCGTTAATTCCGGATATCCGCTGGTATATAGTTTTTGTGTTTGAACGTTGGTGTTTGGTGTTTTCACCAGATGTATTCCGTTGTAAATTTACATTCCCACGCATTAGTGTTTTACAAAAAAACCGTTTGGTCAACGGGTGATCGTAACCATTGCCATCTTGAAAACATGCGTGTGCCGTACATTTTCACTTGAAAATAACCGTGGAGTTTTATTGATTGAAATCACTATACAATGCCCTTCTGATTTGTTATCGATATAGAGGAATTAAAGATTTATATAAGATAAACAAAACATTAAAGCTCCACATGCTTTTACGTTGTCAAAATATGAATGTTCCCCTCTTGCAGATCTGTACAAACATTACCCACTTTCGCGGTTGTTATTTATACGCATGCGGCTTGTAGAGTTTTCTGCGTGACGTCAACCAATCTTTAATTACAATATGCAAGAAACCTATTCCAGGAATAGAATAGGGAACGTCCATTTGGTTAAGACAACGGTAACAGTTGAAATTATTACTGTTATTCCGGCGCGGCGCGGCGCTGTGAATCAGTAGTGTTGTACCGACACACTCTGTATAAATTGACAATATCAAGCACTCTGTATGTTTATATTTGTGTTTCATTTTTCAGGTTATGTGGTACGCGCCGACAACATAACCTTAATGTATTTGAAACTTTTCTTTACTTAATACTGCTTTGTTTAAACCGATTTCTTGAATGATTTTGATGATCTACTAATTTCTCATTTTCTAATCATGTTAATTAAGTTAACAAGTATTTCAGTGTTTTGTTGTCTTCTAAATATAGTGTTCAGTTCCAAACTAAACGTACCGCGCGTTTTGCTACCTATTTTTGATGGCTTCTCTACAAAATTTATTCTGGAAGCAACTGATGGAGACTGCTACAAATGGTAAATATTTAATAAGAAAACCATTTCTATATTTTTCCATTTTTAGGACTACCTCACGCACCGACATAATAAAATTAATTCCGTACGATATGGACTTTGGATTAGACTGCTCGTCAAAAGTAATTGTGTTGACAAGCACTAAGGAACGGACTCGTAATATGGCTATTGTATTAGCAGAGGATTTTTACACTAACCAAGTGTTACGTTGTGATGTTATTGTTGATGTAATCGACTCCTTAGACATTATTACTACGACTCGAGAATTATACGTTGAAGAGGCACCGGAGGCTTTCGAAGTGCGTGCTTATGATTCTCAGGGTTCGAATTTTAAATTGTACCTAACGTATTATTGACGATTTTATTGTAGGAAATGAATTTACTACGCTCGAGGGTATTGAATTCGATTGGAATATCCTTCCGACAAGTACACTTGGCGGTCCGAGTGGCATACGATTTATAACTTTCAAAGATTCTCCTTACGAGGCTCCGGCTAGTATTGAAAGTTTTGAAGACGAAAATAAGAGAGGTCACACAGTTTTATTGGCAGGGTTTAAAACCGGTTCTGCAAAAGTGAGTTATTGGTCTCATGTCGAGTTGTTTTAAGCAACACTTCTTTAGGTGAAAGTTAATTTACCTCATTACGAGTATAGGAATGTTAAGGGACATGAAGTTCAGCTGTCTGTAATTGCAAATTTAATTATAACTCCACCGGAAGTCTATATGATGGTCGGGGATACTGTTGAAATTAAAGTGATACAGGTAAGCTCCTTTAACTAACGGTTATTCTTAAAATACAGGGTGTGTAATCATTTTGGATCGATAATGAAGTGATGCACTTACATCCATAATTTACTTAAGCTATTTTGGTTTAAAAAACACGCTTTATTATACAAGAGTAACAATTGGTCTAATTTGTTTCAGTTAAACAGTGGGCGAATGGCAAATATTGACCTTTCGCTTTCAAATTATCAACTGCAGCTGGAAAATAAATCAGTAGCAACTATTGATAGTTCATGTGAGTTTTTCTTTTTATGGTAATTCAAGAATCATGTCTCCTTAATTTTCATATTTTTCAAGTGATTGTCACCGGTTTACAAGTTGGGGACACCAAAATTACAGTTTACGATCCGAACATTCCTGAAAATGAGAATGGAAAGTTACCGTCTTGCACTGTGCATGTTGTCGAACCTGCCCATATGATGCTTACAATATTACCATATAAAAACTGGGCAATTTTGTTGACGGAACATCACGATATTGTAGCCGAGGTTTATACAAAGTAAGTTACGTTAAGTGGTTGAGGATCAGTGACTGATAAATTTTTTTAGGGACGGACATAAGTTACACCTCGGTGACGGAGTAAAAATTGACATAGAAGTTGGTTCTCTATTCTACGTACACGAACGCTCTGACAACGGCTCTTGGTTAACTGGTTGGGCAAGAGAAGTAGGAACCACACCCGTAATCGGTGTTCTGCATGGTGTTGTAAATTCGATCCTAGGAAAACTCGACTCGAGTCCTCCGATTTCGGCTCAAGCAGAATTATCAATCTATTCTCATATTGCTTTGGATCCAGATGAAGCTATATTTCCATGGGATCCCATTTTAAAATCCAAGTAAGCCCTTTCAAAAAATGTTCTCATTTCATTTTTGAATGCAGGTACGAAGTACAAATTAAAGCAAGTGGAGGAGACGGAAATTTCTTTTGGAGTTCCAGCAATCAGTCAATCGGAATTGTTACACAAACTGGTCTTGTCCGTACTCATTATTGTGGTCATTTTCAAGTTAGCGCAGCTATGCTGAAGAATCAGGATAATAAGGAATCGGCCAGGTAATTAGCAGTGTTATATGTAAAACTGCCACAAATACAAGAAACCACAAAAACATATATTATTGTTTTATCATCAGCCATCTTGGGTATCTGTAGATAGAGTTCACCCTGTATGTTCTTATAAACATTCCTTTCATCCAATGTATCAGCGAGTATCTCTGTGTCCAAGCTTAATTGACATTCCACTTTGACAGCAGGTTGTAAAGGTTAAAAGAGGTTGTGTTGTGTCACTGATATCCAGTAACTACCAGGTATGATCACCGACAAAAATATAATAATCGGAAACTTACTGCCACTTAGGCAACCAATCATACACTATTTAAAATGGCAATGTCGAAGTGTAAGTTTCCCGGCGAGGATTCGTGTGGGATGAGCTGCACGGCGTCGCGCATTGTCGTCTTTGCCTCGGCATTTTTTCGGCGCTGTCTTGATATAAACACTACGGCCTACAGCAGGTATAAAATGTATCAGTATAATTACAAAGATTGGGAAAACCGGATTTTATGCATTATACTCTGGACATATTTAAAAGACATTAGTACATTACACATTAGTATCTTCAATTTCGTTTTTCTTTCGATATTGTTGCTGGTATTATTGAACGGTTTTTTTATTGTGTATTCTACATAATGATTATTATGATTAATAAACAGGATGTTGTGTTTTTAAAGAAATGTGGGGTTATTTTCAGCCAAACTCGAAGTGAAAGAAATTGTCATTATGGCAAATGAGTTCTATATTTTATTGTCACTTGACTCACTGAAACTAACTGTAATCTATGTAAAAAAATCTGCTGCATCCGAAAATTATAGCCCGAAACACCCGGAACATATTGTTATAAACAAAAAACGAAAAAAAGGGGAAAATGTTTTTTTTTATATTTGACTTCGATGGTCTTGTTAACTATGGTTCCGATGAAAAAAATGAATAGAAATGAATTTGTTTACAATAGAATTTTCTATAAGATATCATTAGTTCTTCCGGAGTGTTCATTTTTTCCTATTACCTACCTACTAAGTAAATTTCATCCGATCTTTTTGAAAATCCGTATTTTGTAACTTCTTTTCATAACAAAACACAATGCCAAACCAATTACCCAAGGTTTTATAGTCATTGCATAAATTACTGCTTTCCATTTGAGTGCGTGAAGCTCTGGTGCAGTTCGTTCGGAGCAGCTCCTTTTGCACACATTTGAATTGATTCACAGTACGTAAATACCCACAAAAGTCTTTCAACCCCCCAACCAAATACGGGGTGCATGAGGGGACAAGGGAAATCCAATTTCGGGCGCGTCAGAGCTCGAAACTTTCTTAAAAGGAACACAGGGGATCATGCATGGTACAGCTTAGAGCTCCTCTTTCACTCAAATGGAAAGCAGTAAATAAATACACAAGTTAAAAAAGCGATGCTTTGTCTTTCAAACTACCTCTCAGAGCGTTCTCAATTTTTTACACATAGTGGAACCATAAAGCAACCATTTACAATAATTTCCCGATGATTTTTGCAAATGGACGGACTTTTTTTTCAAAATTTGAACAATTTTGTTAGTTAACAAATGAAATAAGTTTCGAAATATTTTTCTTCAATGTGCGTCATTTGGAGAGCTTTCCATCCGCATTATGGGGTTACATTTCTTGTTATTTTTCGAAAATTATTCCATTTGTTAACTAACAAAATTTATCGCATTTTGAAAAGAAAATTCCACAGTCCGTCGATTTGCAAAAGTAATTTAGATATCCTTTGAAAAAGATTGTTCTACACATGGTACAGTTCTACAGTGGAACCATGTGTAAAAAAACGCTTTGGAGATTATCCCGTTTGCAAAAACTTTTTTAACTTAATTATGCAAAGACTGTAACATCTACGTTGATCGGGTTAAAAATATTGTTTTGTTATAAAAAAAGAATTTACCAAATACGCATTTTCAAAAAGATTTTACTTAGTAATAAAAAATTGTTAATTTTTGAGATTACTTTTTTTTACATGTTTTTTTTATAAATTTCATAACATTTCAAAATGGTCGTACCGGACCAGTTGTATCTTGTAGAAAATTTGATTCTGTTACACTATTATTTTTTCATACAGGTGATATTTCAACGAGTTGAAGCAAAAATTGCCATCACATTTTATTAGTAAATGATTCATTATTCTAATTAGGAGTCATCCCAGCCTATAAATAAGTACGGGTGATTCATTAGAAGTGAGGACAATTTGAATTTCCCGCAAATCAAAAAAATTATGAAGTTGGTACTAACTGATGATCTTTTATTTAATTGCAGTGATGTATCATCATGCTTTCAGTAAATCCTTTACTTATTTATAATCTACAAATACTGCTTCTGTTTTACCACAAATTATAAACTAACACTAGACACATTCACGTTTCTTACATATATGTTAGTGCATCAACTCTAAAAATTGTTCAAAATGGCAAAAGTAATAAACCGCAAATGGCACACAACAATTAACGGCGACACTGGTTTCTTAAATGACAGTCATTACTAACGAAATTCAAACCGTCAATCTAATAATGCAAAAAATACTAAAACCTTACGCGCGAAATTCAAGCGATCATCACTTCTAATGAATCACCCCATAATTGTAAAATCTGTGCCAAATTTTATGCATTGTCGATGACAAAAAGAGAACAAATGCTAGATTCAGGTAGGTAAATCGTTTTTAATTTTGCATATTGGTTTTTCCAACTGTTGCAATATACATATACCTACTACTCGCTTTATATCAACACAGTGATAAAGAAACTGATACGAAGGAACATTGCGCGACGCGTGCGCCCATAACAATCTAACATGGAAATGTTAATAAATACCTTGTTAATGACTTGTTAGATAAGCAGCGTGTTCATGTTATGGTTCTTCCATTCAAAGGAAACATGATTTTAAATGCCCATGGAGTATAAATTACCACTCTTCAGTTACTTCTTATGAATTATTCGCCGAAGTTATTACCTCTATTTTTACCGCATTTTTTAGGAATTTAAAAAATGCGCTATTGTTAGCGTTTTGTCCGTCCGGACCCACTTCTACCGTTTTGAACTACTTCTAGGTGCTTGTCGACTGATTAAACTGACAGTTGGTTCGTAATTTTCGCTTTGAGCTTGTGAAAAATAATTTTTATAAAATAATTAGGCCTATTGTAATAGTTTTTAACATCATTTTATTTAAATAGAAAATATATTCATTTCTTTAATTGACTCGCGTAAACGCGTTTTCTAAAATTCGTCTCCATGAGGAGAGTGTAGTATTCCAGTCGAGCATTCTTCCACTTTTGAAGGTGGTAGTTTTTTTAAATTGCTGCAAACTGACCTCTTATTTTGGATTTGGGGTCTCCGTTTTGGAGCAATTATTCCATCCACGTTTTGGAGTAGGTACATTGACGGTCAGATGTGGAAGAAAATGAAAAGGATAGGTATTTTGAGCCAATAGCAATAACGACTCGCCATCTTTAAAACATTGTTTTTATTAAGCAATTTCAAACTTTGATTTGTAACATAATAAGAGTGTTTACCATAACACTCATTATCGATAGCACTTGTTGTGCCGGTGATGCTGCTTTCCATGCCTCCTACAGTGTTCTTTCTTCCTACCTTGGAAATAAGAGGTTAGGTTACTTTTTCACAGTTTTTGGCAAGTAAAGCGTCTTCTGGAAACTTTTCTATATCTTGTTGCGCCATTTCTCCATCAAAAGCTTCTTTAATAATTCTAGCAGTTAAAAATATATGTTGGAATAAGCTCCACTTTCAATAAAATTAAGCACTCAGTGGAAGTGTAACCGGAACTTTTATTGAACGAACTCAGATCAGTCACTAAGTTACAATAATAAGAAGGTAATATTTGCTTAGATTCAATGAATTATTTGTAGTAAATGTTCTCTCTGTACTGTGATAAAGTTTTGGCCACGGACTTTTTTTCCATTGTTAACACAAATACATAAATTGACTATTACATTACAAATAACAAAAAGTAGGCTTTGTAAAAAAAAATCACACATTTCCATAAAAGTACAACGTTGCCGGCGCCAATTTTTACCAAACATTTAATCAACACTTATGGCCATTTGCACTGACAAATTTAAGCGGAGCTTAGCTTAAGTGTAGCTTAATATCCATGGCTACGATTATTGAGACAATGGTTACGATGGATTTTAAGCTATGCTTAAGCTAAGCTCCGCTTAAATTTGTCGGTGCAAACGGATATTAATCGCCTTGGTTTAATTTAATCATTAATTTTATCATTATTGTAACTTAGTGACTGATACTGATTAACTAACCGCCTGATTATTTATTGTGTGTGCATTCGGCGCATAGTCTTGCAAAATTAACATTAAAAGTCAGTTTTTGTTTCAATGGAGAGAAAACCGAGATCACAGATACCAATGTGAATTAAAGTCTCTTAAATTTGTCCAGAATATAATGCATAAAGTCCGGTTATACCCTTTTTTGTAATTATACCTGCTGTAGCGTTTATAGGTATCAAGGCAGTGACGAAGCAAAGCCGACAATGCGCGACGCTTCAATGTTGCCATTTTGGATAGTGTATGGTTGGTTGCCTAAGTGGCAGTAAGTTCCCGATTATCATTATTTTTGTCGGTGATCGTACCTAGTCTATTTGCCCACTTTTTGCCAATACACATAGATTTACAAACAGTTATAACAAAAATAATCACCTAAATAGAATTGTCACCGCACTTTTTGAAGAATATGCATATTCCAAAGTTATTTGATAAACTTTAACTAAGGGCCGGTATTTCCATCTTCGGATAAAGTACTAGATTCGTACCTGCCAAATAACTTATACCGCCCGATATCTTCCGTTTATCTATCTGCGAGTATTTCCATCAGCGTGCGGTATAAATATATCCCGTAGATAGCTACTAACCATAGCCAATGTTGCCGATTTTAGAAGTCTGTAATAGAAAAAGATAGCGAACGGCAGGGCCATATATTAGAGCAAGATAGCTTACTACCTGACAATTTGAACGAATGCTTTTGTTTTGGAAAGAAATTCAGTGACTTGTAATATACTTGTCAAACGTAAATTACAGAATAAGCTTTACTTATAAGTACTCTGAACATGAACCAAAATCGTGATGTAGAAAGAAAAGGCTAATTTCAGCACATCTGAAAATCGTGTGCTTGTATCAAGAAAATCTTGATCCATTTGGAATCTAAAATAGGTTACCTATATCCTTCAAGAAAACATAGTATGTATTTGCGTACTTCTACTTCCATACTTCAATTTCTTTCTTCCTATTTAGTATAGGTACGGTTGGTAATTTCGCAAATTTTTAAAACGTCACCAGTTTACTGGAAATTTGACGCAATATCCTGGGGTTATGTTGATAACTGCAGAAAATCTACCCAATAACTTTATCTAGAACTTATCCTGCCGATAATATTTAAACGAGGTTCGAAATACCCGAAGCGTCGCTAACTGTCGGTTTACCTGGTTGGCCCTTAGTTGGATAAGTATATGGGCCATTAGTAGGTGAGTGGAAGATTATGGGTTTATTAATGCACATAGTTAAAATTCCTTGTCAGGGCATGTTAAGGCTACAACCTAAAAATATTTTCGACGAAAATTGCAATTGTTATACAGGGTGACATATCAAAGTTACATTTTTTTATAGGACCCCCTGTATATCATTGCATATTTCAATTCCTTGGTCATTTTTAGTGTGACTATGTATCACACATGATATCTAAAATAAGTCGTTTGGCCACAATTTTTCAAAATATAGCTAAAAGAGTAGTTTCATTTCATTTATTTTTAAATACCTACACCCCCTTTGCAGGTCTGTGATAATTCAAATTTGGGACATGTTATATATTTACGTACTTACCATGCTGCACTTCTTGAGATAGGTACATTTCAAAATTGAAAGATGATTATCACTTAATTCTCATGAAACCCACCAGCTTGGCATTTGGTTTAATGGTTTTATTTTAGATCTAGACTAAATTGGCCGATTTGCTCTTTCATTTAAGAAAACTGTGTACCATAATCAAAAAAACATTTTGAACATCACATGTGTGCTTTATCACAACCACAGAATAAGTAAGTTTCACCAAAACAAATGAAAGTATACAGTGTGTTCGAGATGCGAGGGTCATCTCAATATTTGAAAAGAGCAATCAATTTGCGGTACGACAACATGAAATATGCATACCTATGGTTGATATGCAACAAAAATGGAGAAGTTTGTGATTCAGTATTTAGAAAACTTATGAAATCTAGCAGGCTGCCAGGATATGCTGTATCTGTTGTGTTGCACATGTAGGTTGTATCCCGCAAAAGTAAATCTGAAAAACAAAACATTGAACAAGTTAAGGTAGGTCTTTTCTATGTGATATGGCACATGGCATGCTAGATTTCATACGTTTCGAATTACAAATCATACAAGTAGGCCAGTAAATGACCGTTTTGGCTTGTAATTTTTCGCGCCTTGACGGATTTGCTTGAAAATTTGGATTTAGGTTCCTCTTACCCTCTATTTCAAAGGTGAACTTGAGCCCAGGGTTGCTTTTACTTGAGCGGTGAATGCCACCCCTTCTCTTCAACAAAATAACCACGTTTTCAGACGGTTTTTCGCTAATAACTATAAAAGTAAGTATTGTATCGAAAAAAATATTCTTAGCAAAAATATAGCTTATAAAAAAACAAACAAAAATACTGCATCTGTTCATACTTTTAGTTATAATTTTCCATTTTTCAAAACCGTAGAAATCGACAAAATAAAAAATTACGTTTTTATAAATCAGTGATGCTTTGGAATTTTTTAACAAACTACAAGCGCATCGCACCTACTTGTTTGACGTCTAACGATTTTCAAATTTAATTCTATTTCTATTTCCAGCATAAAACAACGTTAACGTTTCCATTTCTTCTTCCATTAAATACATGATAAGCAATTTTATGACTGAGTAATTTATAAACAAGTATAAATTTAATAAACGACAAAGGCAAATAATGAACAGCGATCGCTCTTTTTTTTAGGTAATTCCAAAGCATATCTGATTTATTGTAAAACGAACCATTTCATTTTGCCGATTTCTATGGTTTTAAAAAACGGAAAATTATAAGTAATAGTATGAACAGATGCAGTATTTTTTTCTCTAAAAAAAACCTATTTAGACTTTTGCTCTAAAATAATTAGGGGAGCTAGTAATTGACTGTAAAGAAATTACCATTGAAATCCCTATGCTGTGTCGCGCTAAGCACCACCCTGTATATGAAGTCTGTACACCCAGAAGCAAAGTTGTAGCGCATGAAAAGTAGGTTCTCATTCGTCCAATATTGAGTACTTCAACGTGAAATAACCAAAAAATGAAGCACTTTTCGGGGGAAAACTTATGAATACTTTTTTAAAGTGTTTGAAAGAACCTTTCTTTTTGTTTTTAAGAAACGTTCCTAGCATCAAAACTAAGTGAGTTACGGTCAAAATAAAGTTGGTCCTTTTTTTTTGGTAAAAAAAATCGAGGAAATAAGCCCCTAATTAGCACCCCAATTGTAATTAAGCGTTACCGCTTTACAGTTTGCTTTATTTATGTATTGTTTATATGATCTGTAAGTTTGACCGGTGCAAAGTGCTTATTTTTGAAAAAATGTAGTTTTGAAGTCAAAAAAATTTTGAAATTTTGAAAAATTACCTTTTTTTTTCAAAATAACTTCAAAAGTATTAGTCATACGAAAAATTCACAAGAATAAAAAAATGTAGCTTTTGCTTTTCTGAACGTTTTGCTTTTTTTTGTTTTTTGTAAAACAAAGATTGGTTAAGATATGACCGTTCGAAGTTTGCATACACTCGTCATTAGTGACTCATTCGAGCCCTTTCAACTACAACCCTTTCAAAAATAAGGGTTTAAAAAAATTAATTTGAATAATCTTATAGCTTTTAAAACAACCTACAAAGTGGGTTTTTAAAGCACATCGTAGCTTAAAAATTAACCGATTTGTGAGTAAAAAACCAATCACATATCTAATACATCAAAACGCGTGTGGTTATTGGAGCATTGTAAGATACACATACATACTTTCATCCATCCTTACAAACTATACATATGTATATTTATATACCTAAATCATATTTTCGGTTTTCTCGTGTAGTTTTTGTATTAGATAATTCGACGTTTCGAAGGTCTACATTGCCTTCTCTATCAAGAATTACAGATTGTGACTTTGATTCATAATTATAAATCAATTTTATAAGGGTAGAAATTATGTAGTAAAAAATATAAATAGCAAAGAAATCTAAATTTAATGTTACTGCATAATTAAATAATCTCAATTTGTTTGAATTTACAATTATATGATTAGTAGGGGAGTCAAAGTATTCTATGACATTGTTTTAATTATAACTATTTTACAGGGAAGATTTAGGGGTTAAACTGTGATAAAATCTTATGTTATGTTGTTTAATGTTAATTGGTATATGTTCACACCTTTAAAAGATGATTTGAATCAATTACCCGTTTTAATTTACAATTATACGATTTTTTTCTAATAGGGGAGTTTTTCCCCTAAAAAATAAAAAGCAACCCTCAACTTTGACGTGGAGGGTAAGTAGAACCTAAATCCAAATTTTCATGCGATTCGGTGGAGACGCGGAAAATTACACAGGATCGCCGTATTCCACGTTCATTTACTGGCCTAAAGGTGAAAGCGCCCTGTCCACTATCAAAATTTCAAGTTAATCGATTTATCGTGAAAAAAGCAAAACCTTCATTTCCTGGACTATTAGGCTTATAAGACCTTTCACTGTAAGTGCGACTATTAGTTGCTTACTGATGATGACGATATTGCTGTTGAAGTCACGTTTGATAAATTTATTGTGGTGTCTTATATTTGTCGCAAGTTTGTATTACTTCAACGGTCAAGTACTTGTGTTTGAACATAATTATGATTCTAGAATTCACATTCTACCACCAACAAAGCTCAAGATTATTGAATACATCATGGAAGCCGAAGTAAATCAACCCATATTTTTACACGTCGCGCTATTTGCGACCAAACAGGTTAAAGGAGAGGCAAAAACTTATGACCTTCCATTTAACAAGTGTCAAGAGTTGCCATTTGTAGTTAAACTGGCAAATGAGAATTTTTTCCATAATTCGACAGCAGTAACCACACCGATTGGTGTGTCCTGCACGACGATATGCATAGTGGGTAGGGATGTGGGAATCAGTAAAGTGAGCGTTAGTTATACCATCGATGGAAATTTACTCGAGGATACTGTCACTGTCAGCACCTTTGAACCGCTTCAATTAATCTCCCCTACTCATTACGACATTGCCTTAGCAGTAGACACATCAATTGATGTGATTTTCAGTGGTGGTCCAAAACCACTTGTTGGTCGGCCTTCAGTTTACAAGAGAACTGTGCTTAGTCAATCAGATGTGGTTGTTTCCGCGCATGACATTACGGACGAAAATCCCTCAAATAAAAACGACTTAATAAAGCTTCGTGTGCATTGTTTAAAAAAGGGATCAAGTGGTGTAATTTTGTCGATTACCAATAGTCCAATTTTGCCTAATTCTAACGTTCACGAAACTTCTTCCACCATAAGTGTTTGGTGTGTTGAACCATACTCGATATCTTTACATCCTGTCTTAAAAATGGAGGATGCCAAAACATGTCCTATAGATGTAAGCGCCAGTCGAGTCATCGTACCAAGTTACAAAAGTATTGAAGTTGATGTCAGAGTTAGAGACGAAAGTGACCGTCTATTATTAAATATATCTTCATTGAGGTTACACTGGATTACAGACCCCGTGGATATGGCTGATCTTGGAAACCCCAATAGTGTATTTCAAAGAAGCGCTGTACATAATGGTGTGGAATATGCAGACGGAAATTACCAACTGATCACTCCAAAGACAGATATTGGAATTTTAAAGCTAGGCGTGGTGTTACAAGGATATTTTAAAGATAAATTTGAGTATGTGAACGTCGATTGCACATCAAGGGGAAACTCACGTTGCATTAGAGATGAAGTATACTTATATCTAGAAAGGAATGCAGTTGCAATTCCTGACGTTATATCGATTTATAACCATCCTAACAATAAGAGACGCGTTAAAATTGTTCACGGTTCCGGATATTACGATATTTCGTTGAGTCACTATGATGTAGTTCGAGTGAAGTACTTAAAAGGAAGCCGCGAACTAGAAATAATTCCAATAACTATGGGAGAGGTGGAAATTGTGGTGACCGACTTATGCTTACCATCACCTCCTGTCACTATTACCGCTACAGTTGTGTCAATGAGCAGTATTAAAGTTCAAATGCTCGATAAAGTCGAAATTGGAAAATCTATCACTGCCATTGTTACGGTGTACGATTCGTACGATAACATTCTGGTTGTACCCGAATTAGATCTGTCAAGGATCACTGCAGATCTCGGCATAAAAATTGCCAAATTGGATCGGGTTGAAGACAAAGGGCTTGATGGTGCATCCGAAGAGGAAATTTTATATACTGTCACAGGTTTGTTTTTGATCTTTTTACTTTGTACATTGTGGTACTATCAAAACGTGTCATTTGAATCCTTTCCTTATTTTCAAAAACTAATTTAATACATAATACAGGGTGTTTTTTGGGAGCTTTAGTTAAACGTTTCTGGGAAAGTAAAATAGGTAGGTTTTTGAAAATGTGTACTTAGGAGTTACTCTGAAGGCAGAAAAAATGGCGAATGCAGATGGTACCTTGATAATTGATTACTTAAAACGGTTATAGTCATGGCAACCCATCTTTATCAGTGCATAGAGAATGAATAGGGCTTTCTTTTAGTGTACTTAAAAAAAAAGTTAAGTTGCGTACAACCGCACCTATGGAGCTCCAAATTTAAGAAACTTCAAAGTTTAGAAACTCAGTTTTTTTAAATGGAATGACCATGTTCTTACTATTGCATGAGATAGCTGATACAGAATCGAAATTGGCATATTTTGATATTACATGTTCCTATAGCTATCTTTAACAGTTTCAAATTTATTCCCATTTCATTGAATTGATGCCTTTTTTTTTCGCATTTTCTTTTCAGTAGTTGGCCATGATTTTATAACAATCGAATTTTAAACAAATCAAGGGAAGGATTCTTTAATATCATTGATTTTAGTCTAAATAATTCATTTATTAGGGATATAGAACGGAAAATTTTTGAGAAATCTAGACAGTCGTTCAACTGAATTTCTTAAACAACGTATAAGTCTGGAAATTCAGAAAGGTAATGCGATATCTGTTCTAGCAACAATTCCATACCAAAAATGTTTCAACGAAGTTTTTTATATGTTGCATTGAATTTATTTTGTTAAATATTCTCCTGTAGAACTTTGTATCACTTGTGCTTCAACGGTTTGTAGTGCATAGTACATTTCCAAAATTCATATCATTTCGTTCCAGTATTCGAATGAATATACGGCAAGCACGTGCCGCGATTCTGCCCATTTCACGATAAATAACAATTAAATTCCAAAATAGGTGAAACCACTGAGAGTCATTTTTCGATTTTTGAAAAACTTATGTTAACCTATAACAGTAGGTGATGGATTAGTGTCACTAGATTTGTTTAAAATTCAATTGTTATAAAATCATGGCCGACTACTAAAAAGAAAATCCGAAAAAAATAGTGTCCATTCAATAAAATGGGAATAAGTCCGAAACTGTTAAAGATAGTTGTAGGAACATGTATTGTCAAAATATGCCCATTTCGATTCTTTATCTCATGCAATAGTAAGAAAATGGTCATTCCATTAAAAAAACTGAGTTTTTAGTCTTTGACATTTCATAAATTTCGATCTCCATAGTTGTGGTCGTACGCAACTTAACTTTTTTTTAAGTGCACTAAAAGAAATCCCTATTCATTCTCTATGCACTGATAAAAAAGGGTTGCCATGACTACAACCGTTTTCAAGTAATCAATTATCAAGGTACCATCTGTATCTGCCATTTTTTCAAGTCAAAATAACTTAAAAACCATAAATGGCAGATATTGACACATGGGTATCAAAAGAACTGAAATTTCACGTAGAATCCAAAAATCCAAAAAAAAATGGGGGTTGCTATTTAAAATAACGAAGTTACTATCTACTTCCGGTAATATTTTACATCGATTCGGCCTGCAGAGTAACTCCTAAGTACAAATTTTCAAAAACCCACCTATTTTACTTTCCCAGAAACGTTTAACTAAAGCTCCCAAAAAAACACCCTGTATATGAATGACCTAAAAATCCAAGAAGATAACTTCACCTAAAGCAATCCTTACAGGATGATTGTGTAAGTTTATATATTCTATCTATTCATAAGCCGAGCTCGGCCAGGCAGCACTTAGACACAGCAAAGGCCTATTGTGCCTACCCCTTTCACACCTAGGTTCAGAGCCTGTTCCTCTCAATAAAGGATAGGACCCTGTTGAAGTTGATTCACCCTCCCTGGTTCCAAGTAACTGTCGCCAGGGGGCTGATGTCTGTCTCTGATTAAGGCGTCACAGTGACAGACCACACGCTTGATAGTTCCATCTGCCTCACCACAGAACCTGCATGTGGGCTCTCCTACAAGCCCAATGTTGTGCAAGTGATAGTTGACCATCCAGTGCCCCGTAAGGACACCCAGTTGCCCCCTATTCAGTAGGGCGCTGGCACTCAGATCATTAGGGTAATATTAGGCTCACCTAATATCTATCTAGAGTTCGCCTGTAATCAAGCGCCTTAGCCGATCAGAACCTGTCTGTTTCGCCCCGCCTGACTGTCACTGCATATGTACCTATATGATTATTAGAATAACCTCTACCTTGGGAGAAGCTAATGTCAGCTCTCTGTTGATCACGATATATACCTGTTCCCTTTTCCGTTAGGGATCCGTCTGTAAACCACACGAGCCCCCCAGGTTTGAGAAATGAGCTAGTTCAATTACTGCTTCCTGTCCGGGAGAGTTATTTTATGATCGGTCTTAGTAAGACAGTCCAGATCGAATTCCTTCTTGCGAGGAGGGAATTAGATCTTCCTCCCAAATTCGCCCATACCAAAGGCTGCATCAATCCTTCCACTTGTCCCAGTCATTTAGCTGTATGGAAGCCTTTCAAGCCTCTGCCTCCAAAGCTAGGTGTAAATGCTCTAGTTCCAGAAGTGCCTCTATGGCCAAAGTTCATAGTTGCGCCACAGCAGTTCCAGTCAGTGGATCTAATTGAAAAAGAATGTGCCTGTGGTTCGACAGGCCCATCAGACACTCCAACGCGTGATCATGTGAACTATTGAAAAGGAGCCCAAGTTGTTTGCAAGTACTCCAAAAGGTGGTCGCCTACTATTTCGACGGTACTCTACCAATTCGGCTCTCTGGTAGGTGGCGCCTTTTCCGAGTCGTACCGAAGATATGATGAGCAGACCACCAAGTGCCTGCTCCATCTTTCAGCTGATGACATAGAGCTACGAGATCCTTAAAACAGAAATCAACTATTAGATAAGACTCAATTCGTCTATCGACATAAGTGCATGTCCTAGGGTTCAGTTGGTTGTCCCTCTTATAATGAAGATGTCCTCCACCGGGCTCCGACCTCTTACGCGTCCCCTGTAAACCCATGGTTCTTGTATCGCCTTACTGTGCTGCAAATTGCTCTGTAAGAAGGTTAAAAGGGCTTCTTCTTAGGCTGCCCTGATCCTATAGTGCTTCCCTCTGATTTGAGATGCTTGGTCCCTGACCTCGGGTTGCCCCCCTTGAGGCAACGACCCAGACACAGCCTTGGACTTTGGGGCAGGTCCCACTTGACCCGAAGATTTACGCTCGAGCCAGCGCTTCCTGGCAATTGCCTTCTGTGCGCCAGTCCTATTCTTCTTGTGAATAGGAGCCGGCCTACCATCAGGTCCTTAAATAAGACCCTGCATTGGAGCCGTCCCCTCTTTCGAGGAGCCTACCCTGTTACCGGACCCCTTTTGAGGGCCCGACTTGTCCCTCTGACGAGCAGCCCAAAAAGTTTTTGAATGTTCATACAATTCCCACGAGTAGTGCAGAAATGCGGTCTCACTTGTTCGGACTTACTGGCTGACTACCATCCCCTTCCCAAAGGAAAGAAGCCACTACCCGGTACCTGAGGGGCATGGTTATCGACTATCCACCATCCGGGGACGCGCCCGATCTGTGCCTCCACCGCATGGTGTGAGATTATACAGTGTTTCAAAAAAAAGTGCGATATTTTATCCACATATAGTACTCATGAAAAAAAGTCAAACAGTCTTAACAAACATAGGTTGAAGCCAATAGAAAATCTCTTGAACTAATTACATTATTAAAAACAAACGAATAGTGATGTTTCTTAATACATAAAATACTTAAAGAAGATGGTCTATGCGCCCTCCTTCCACTTACAGACAATTCCTAGGACAATTCTGCTCCTTGAGTCAAATGTAGGAAAACAAAAATATTTAAATTAAGACAGAAAATCAACTCTATCTCTGAAACACTTAGTTTACGGACCTATGTTTATTAAGACTTTTTGGCTTCTTTTCATGAGTCCTATATGTTGGTATAATTTCGGACTTTTATTTTGAAACACCCTGTATAGTTAAAAGGTAGTGCTTCATATTTGATTTACTTATTTTTTAAGAATTAAAAAAAATGTGCTATTGTATACGTTTTGTCCGTCCGGACCCACTTCTGCCATTTCGAATTAATTTTATCTCATTGTATTCTAATTAAAGGTCTCAACGAAAGGAACTGTTTTCTACCAACTACTGCCCTTCTTTCTGTCCTCTAATCAAAGTACGTGGGGGACGGAGAGGGGGGGGTGAGTGGAACTAGTTTTATCCTTCATGGTACTCTAATGAAAGGTCTCAATGAAAGGAATTAATTTCTACCAACCATAGCCCTCCTCTCATCGTGATCGGATATATTCCCTTATACCTCAAGAACGAATTGTCGGAATAGGTAGAATATGTTTAAATACTGTTTTCTACTATTGCTTTTTTTTGTTCCACATTTAGTTACCTGTTCCTTCCCATCTAGACACTTTTGAACATTTTTTTGCAATTTCCTGTCGAAAATGTAATTTCCTAATTAATCATTTGTTAAATTTAAAATATAATATCGTTTGGTTCGATAGTATTTTCATCCTTTCTTTACATGAAATTATTGTTTGTTGCATTTTTTACTTACTGATCCTTGAACTTCTAGCTATCGATCTGTGAAGGTTCTCGAGTTAGACAAGAAACAAACGGACAGATGGGTAGACGGGTGGACAAAATCACATTTCTTTTTTTTCTACATGGGGAATGTGACAAAACCACATAAAATGACAGAAGAAAATAATTAATGGGGAATTAATTATTTTCTTCTGTCATTTTATGTGTTTTTGTTTTTCAATCTTTATGTATAGTTAATAGAGGCGTGATGGTCATTGAAATAGATATCCGTCTGGCGCAGTTCAGTGAAAGCTGGACTGTAGTGCTAAGGGTCCCTGGTTCGAATCCGGGTTCGGGCATGGATATTTGTAAATGTATAGTGGGTTGGGTTGGTAGAGCAGCCCCGCCCACTCAAAAATAAAGGCAAAATAGAATAAAGACTTTCCCAACCCGCCCATTCAAATGATTGATTATGTCCGGTTCTTTAAGTGAAACACTAAAGTAACTGGTTTTCTCTAAATGTTAGTTACATTCTTCGCTATTTTACCATTACGCCTAGCATTGCGTTCCTTTTAATGTCTAACGCTGGAATCAGCCATTTAATCTATATATCACCTCTTTGAATGAATGGAACAAATGACAAGTAGTTGTGTACATCTTAAGTGCTGAGATCGCCTGTAAAGCTAGTAGCATTTTAGTGCACTTTCACTTTCTGTCTGTCTGAGTCACAAAGGCTCATGTTTGTATTCTCGTTAAGGGATGAAATGTCCATAAGGGCTATTAAAATCGCAAAAACACTGAAAGTGCACTCTCCGCCTTTTGCTTACAAGCGGCTTAACGAATTTTTTTCACTATGTATTCATTGCAATATCCAATTGTTCCTTTTTTGTAGGTACTGAATTGGGTAATACAAAGATTACGTTTGCAATTGGTGACATCGTCAGCCCAATGATCGATCTACAAGTGTTCCCTCCTTTAAAAATTATACCTCGAAATGCCACTTTGCTGATTGGATCAGTGTTTCAGTACAGTTGCCGAGGAGGACCACAACCAGAAAACATAGTATACAATATTATGAATAAATCAATTGCAGGTGAGTACCTTTTTGTGGAATGAGATAGTAATCTAATTGTTAATTTCAATCTTTTTGTCGACATTTGATAACGATGCGAACTCAAAGACACATTAATTCACCCATGTTAGATTATTGATGTTGCCCTAATTCAATTAGTAGCTATATTATCATTGCAATTTTAATTTAATTCTAGATATAAGCAATACAGGCATCGTTCATGCATTGGACTTGGGTTACACAAAAATCGAAGCTCTGTCAGTTGGTATTAATCCTTATACGGGAGATGAAATTGTATATTCCCAGGTAAAGTTACAGTAGTCTTTACCTTTACTGAGTCAATTGGTTTTTAGGATACAGTCGACTTGCACGTTATCAACATGAAAGGTGTCAAAATCAAATCACCTTTAACAAGATTTCAAGTTGGCTCCACCATACCTTTGTGGCCGTATGGGATACCCGAAGAATTGACACCGATGGTCTTGGGTGGCGCCGAAAAACCATTTAAATATCATTGGAAAGTGGATGATCCGCATATTCTTAAACTTGTGACCCCATTTAATCAATATGGTAAGTTTCCTTTGCAAATTGAACCCATTCCCAGCTGGCAAATATTGCAGGAATCCACTATGGACTAGAAGACGAAGTAGTCATGCGTGTAGTCGGTCTCGCCCCAGGCCGAACCACGGTACACCTCGATGTCATTGTACCCGGATATGTTAGCTCCAAAAGAAATAATTACCATAAAATATTTTCGGATAGTCTGGATATCGAAGTTTTTGAAAGTTTCGCACTGAAACATCCTGCTAGCACTAATGGCAAGTTAATTTTATTATCCACACATTCGAGTATACAGTTGGAAACCAATATGGACGGATTGTTGAAGCTTCGATACGAGTATGACATTCTCATTACTGTCCATAACCATTAACCGGCTTTGATTCAGGATACCTAGTGTTAGTGAACCAGTTGCAGCTTCGGGATCCTCGAATAAAAAATCATTGAGCATCCCCCATCCGTTAGTCACTGTGTCGAATACTGGTTTGGTACAGTCTTACGACAAATTTGGTATTGCATCCATCATCATCTCTGCCATGGATCAATTTGGTCTTAAACAAACTATTAACGTGGCTGTCGAGGTTTGACTGATCCAATTAAAAGTAGAGTTTGCCGAGATTTTTGTAGGTAAAACCTGTTCATTTTATGCTGTTAGATGTGACTACAAATTGGCGAGTGAAGACCGTTGCGCCCATTCCCATTATACCTCTAGGGACCGACTTTGAACTACACGGCCACTTTTACGATAACGCTGGTGTTAAATTTTCCGCTACGAATTTAAAATTAGGTGTTCGCAGTACTCGGAGTGATTTGATTGGCATACGTGCAGGTGGTGATAACTCGTCCGTAATTATATCAACAAAGAAGAGCGGTGATAGCATTTTAAGGGGTTTTACTACTGGGTTTTATAAAAATGTAGATTACATCAAGCTTCATGTCGGTGAAACTTTCAGTCACGTTATTGTAAGTTACTTTTGTGGAAGGGTGATTCACACTTCAAACCGGTTCTAGGACAGTTTAACAACTGGGGACATTATATGTCTTTGGACGCCGTTAGTAACTTCAAATAAGGACGCTGGTAGATGGAGCGCAAGTGATGACTCGCTAATTAACATAAATCCTGAAGCTGGAATTGGAACGGTCGTTGGGTTTCACAATGGATATGCGACTTTAACTCACTCGCTGCACCCGACTGCTATCTGGCATTTATCTCTCTTTCCAGCCACAGAAATCACTATGCTTCCTACATCTTACACCATCTTAACGAATGCTCCCAACACAACCACTAGAATTCCGTTGATTATTAGTTCAAATGAAATCTCCTCAAAGAGTAGTAACTTTGTAAGTATAGAGACGTAGGTAGTTTATTGTGGTTACATGAGAGATTGTAGGTGAATGGGAAACATTGTCGAGATTTACTTGAAACAGACTTGGAATATCCATTCACGTGTTATTTGGAACACAACTCTGATGTGGAAAATATTGATGTTCCATCTGTATTCAATATACGAAGTGGCTTTGATGTCAGTACAGGTGAGCGTAAACTAAACAATTTATTTTCATTTGAAATAACATCAGAATTTTCAAAACGTGAACCATTTCATTTTGTATTAATTCTAAGTCCAGCCCTCTAAACCATTGATGCCCCAAATTTCCGGAATCACTTCCAATTAAACTGGAAATTGGTGCAACTTTTGTTTTTCAAATGCAATGCCTATGTTTTTTTAAGATGTTTGAAAAGAGCAATCAGTTTGCTCTTGAATTTGCTGTATGTCAACATAAAATGTGCATGTGGTTGATAAAAAAAATGTTTCAAAACCTACTCGTGGGTATTGCCGCGTAACACAACTGTAACACTAGTGAATCTGTCAATTGTGCGCATATAAGAATGTGTTAAATGTGGTAACTGCGCATGGCCACACATAATTTTTACTATCTGCGAAATGTTTCCCAAATAAGGTATATTGGGATGACCCCCTTATCTCGAACACACTGTATTAGTTTTGGTAATACAAAGTTTATCTTGAGGCGGTTGCTAATATACAAGGTAAGGATATTTATCATGGGAATCTCTAAAACCATAGAAGATACGAGGATGGTCAAATTAGGGAAACGTTAAGCAATAGGCAGGTTCGACATTTTTTTATTTTAACTGAAATCGAGAGATTTTGTTCTTAAAAAACAATCAGAAGAAAATTGGGTGCAAAATATTGATATTTCCGTCCGCTGTAAGCACTTTAAAATCAAGGGTCGGCGCGAAGCAAGAAAACGTACCTGTGCGCGAGACTATCCCGCGTGACGTCCGTGCCCAGAAACATTTGCCGCCGTACTGGCAAAGTATACGAATGTTTCTGGCTACTGATGTCACGCGGGGTAGTACAGGTACGTTTTCTTGCTTCGCGCCGACCCTTGATTTTAAAGTGCTTACAGCGGACGTAAATATCAATATTTTGCACCCAATTTTTTTCTGATCGTTTTTTAATAACAAAATCTCTCGATTTTAGTTAAAATAAAACAAACACATTTGAACAGATACAAAAAAATTAAGAGACTTTCTATTGCCACTTTTTGAGCTCTACAACGCAGCGTTGAGAAATTTTCAATAGAACGTTTCGTCTCTGAGAAATCATCAACTTTATTTTTTTATATGGCCCATACAAAAGTACATACTGTGTTGAGTAGCATTTTTTTAATTTTTACTAATACAACGACGTACGACCCACTCGCGCACAACGTCCTAATCGTGCGAGAATACCTATTTATATGGACCTCCAGCTGCGAGCATGAAATTAAAGACTGTTCGAGGGTACCTTAATTAAGCATTTTTAACAAAAAAATTTGCGGAAAAAACACGAAATTTTCCTCAATCTTAATTAAAAGTTCACTTACTTCCATATCGAAATGTGAAGGCGCGTTTAGACTGCGCGAGGCGTACTCGCGAATGAAAGTGTAAACAGTTGGGGAGCGCGAATCACGAGGCAGATGCACCGCGTGTGGGTCTCGAACGCGCAACAAAGGAGATTCGCACAAACGATTTGGGCAGTCTAAACCCGCCTTGAGATTATGTTACTTCATATGTCACAAGCACTTACGCAGAGTAACTGCTTCCTGGTGGACATGAGTCTAGACTCTAGTGACGGCTTGCACCTGGGCAGCTTGGGATCGATTCTTTGGTACAGAACATTTTTTTTTCACAAAAATGAGTACCCAATTCAGCGGAGTGTGAGTTAGGTTATTTGAAGGTTTAAATTGTCTTCTCAAATTTTGTGTAAAGCAAACTTACAGAAAACAACAAAATCGACACAAAATACGCATATCGTAAGTCTGGTCGCAGTTGCGAATCGGGTGTGGGCTCGTATGATGAACGGGCTGCTTTACTCAGTCAGTGCTCGTCATATTTCATGATTACTTTTATGTTGGTAAGAGTGTGCGTAATATTCCTGAGTGCTACTTCAATTTCTTAAAAAGTCCTGTATGTATAAACGTTAAAAATATTAGAAAATGACGTTGATGTAGTTCTCTACATGTTTTACATACTTCATGTGTAAGTAGTATAGGGGCCACTATGGCCACCCCCACTCCTCCTCCTTTAAGCCCCGCCCCTGGCTTCCTATTGGTTGGCTTATACCCCGCCCATCTCCCACTCCTTTAATCTGATTGGCTCCCCGCCCTCGTTTGAGAATCCTCGATTCCTATTGGTTCCACCCCCTTCTCCTTTCCTTCGTTCTCATTGGTCCTGATAAATCCTCGATTCCTATTGGTTCCACCCCCTTCTCCTTTCCTTCGTTCTCATTAGTCCTGACAAATCCTTGATTTCTATTGGATGGATCTCTCACCCGTTCTTCGACGCATCTACCTCCCCTCCAGTCGCCGTTGCATGGTCTCTCTCGTCTACATGGTTGTCGACAACTGTTTCTCAGTTCATTTCCAGTCGTTGTGGGGGACATGCCACTTTTAGTCGCTGCTGGATCTTTCAGAAAAAAACCGTAGAGATCAAGTTTCGAACATACTCCCCGCACGTACTACCGTCGTAGAGTATCGATATAGCATCTGCGCTACGAAGAACTAATGCAAAATATAAGTATCTCGTCGTCCCATATTCCTGCATCGAGCAGTGTGCTGCTGTGGTTGATTAATCGTGGGTATGCTATATAAATTATGTTCTAATTATTTTTTAGGCAATAAATGGATAAACAAAAATTAGGCAATTGTGAAATTCGTGTATGTTTTCTGAGGGGTGTTTGAAATCTGCACCGATTTTGAAAGTAATCTTTATTTTCGTTTAGACTTGCGTTGCATAACGTTAAATCACGTGATCACACACTTGCAATAAAATTTCAATTAGCGGAAGATCGTATCAGTATCCATTTGAACGTTGAGGCAGTTAATTCATCTTTGTCTTGGTAAAGAAATCTTCGTACTTACGCCCAGTAAAAAATTACATACCGATTAGAAGGTCTGCATTGTCTTCCATCAATTTTGCAATTTTTAAAGCTCATTGCATAATCTGTATCATAGACCACGTGATAAATATCTAGGGAATGCATTCTTATAAAGTCAGTGCACCTGTGCAAAGTCGACAGTATAAAGAAGAACTTCGAAGTGTAAACGTACCTGTGAGCCTCACAGATTGAATTCTTTTCTGGCTTACCAATTCCATATTAAGTTACATCAGGTGTTCCTTCTCCTTTCAATCGATACTAATCGGCGGATGATACGAGAAAGGCGGTCCATTTAAAAGCGGCGTGTGCAAGACAGTTGATACTGAACTGCGATTGATCCGAAAACGGCGGTCGATACAAAAAAGGCGGTCTATGGAAGATGCTAAAGTTGTCTCTTCCCCTATCGAGTGTACAAGGCGGTCGATGGTAATCTGCGGTTGATACGGAAAAAACGGTCGATGCGAAAAAGCCCGATTAGTCCAGGCTATATAATATTTTTTGACAAAAAAAATTAGTTACCGTGCGAAACCAGGTTTTTCAGGCAGGTGAAATGAATAGAAATTGGGAAAAAATAATTAGAACAGCTGAATTTTTCCGCGGGTGAAATCACGGGGGTTGAAAGTGGTATTTTGCAAATTGTAGCAAAACTATTAATTTTAGCCGAAAATGTTAAATGTAAAAGTTATAAAGATTTAAAAAAAATGAGCAACTTTTGTATCTGCACTATTTTCACATAACCTCCAATTTTCCTAGAAAAACCGAAAAAACTGATTTTTTCGTTTTTTATTCATATTTTTGCGAAAAAATGTCGTAGGGGTTTCAAATTTGGAGGAAACATAGCTTGTTTTATGATAAAAAAGAAGATAATTTTTTGGGCCTGTAAAGTTGAACCGTTTCCAAGATCTCACGATTTCTGAAAAAAACCACCTCTTTTTCGAGGGGATGAAAAATCTATTTTTTTCCATCGTACAGAGGTGCGCGGGGTAGCCAAATTTTCGGGAAGACTTATATTTTAATAAACAAAAATAAAAATCGCCAAAAAACTGGAAAAACAGTTTTAAGATATACACGGTTTTTAACATGATAAATCAACATATTGGATGTTAATAAAGATTTTTCCAAATCTGTCCTCTTTTGCTTAAATATTCTCTTTTGTTATCTTATGCTCAACTGTTTCTTTATTATTTCTTTTTTCTGCATTTTTACCGCAATAAAAGCAATTCGAAATAAAATCGGATTATCTTGCTTCCTGATTCCTGAACAATTTCTGTTTGTTCACTGACTCTTCTTCCTGCCTGTTTTATAGCTGATGCAATTGCGTTGGGCCTGTTGATAAACTTGCAAAATCTGCAATAAGAACGTTAGTTTTACCAGTTAAAGCAAATGATTTGAGATGTAAAATCTGGAATAAACTTTATGAGGATTTTATTCATAATTCCTGTAAAACGATCAACAGGGCCAGCTTAATCCCATCAGCTGTAAAACAGGCAGGAAGAAGAGTCAGTGAACAAAAGCAAATTGTTCAGGAAGCAAAAGAATTCGATTTTACTTCGAATTGCTTTTATTGCGGCAAAAATGCAGAAAAAAGAAATAATAAAGATGTTTTAATTAAGGCAGTTGGGCACTGGGAAATAAAAGAACATATTTTAGCAACATTAAAGAGGGGAGAGAACACAGATTTCAAAAACTGTTTACTAGCGCGGATCCAATACGTTAATTTATTTGCAAAAAAGCCTGTTCCCTCAGTTTTTGCCGCTTTTCTTAAAATTTTTCTATTGGAATAATATTTTTTATTTTTGATTATTAAAATGTAAGTCGTTACGAAAATTTTGCTACCCCGCGCACCTCTGTACGATGAAAAAAATAGATTTTTCTTCCCCTTGAAAAATAGGTGGTTTTTTTCAGAAATCGTGAGATCTTGGAAACGATTCAACTTTACAGGCCCAAAAAATTATCTTCTTTTTTTATCATAAAACAAGCTATGTTTCCTCCAAATTTCAAACCCCTACGACATTTTTTCGCAAAAATAAGAATAAAAAACCAAAAAACCAGTTTTTCCGGTTTTTCTAGGAAAATTGGAGGTTATGTGAAAATAGTGCAGATACAAAAGTTGCTCATTTCTATAACTTTTACATTTAACATTTTCGTCTAAAATTAATAGTTTTGCCACAATTTGCAAAACACCAGTTTACACCCCTTTCAACCCCCGGGATTTCACCCGCGGAAAAATTCAGCTGTTTTAATTATTTTTTCCCAATTTCTATTCATTTGACCTGCTTGAAAAACTCGGTTTCGCACGGTAACTAATTTTTTTAAAAAATAAATTATTTTAGAGCTATTTAGCCTGGACTAGATACCAAAAAGGCGGCCCGTGGAGGATGCGACAATCGTCCCTTTCCCTATCGAATGTACCCCAAACCAGAATAGCGGGTGACAGTGCGACATTGTCGCAAAAACAAAATTATTGCTGCAGAATGATTGAGCAGTCGAACCTCCGCATAACGTATTATTTGTTCATTTTGTTCTGAGAAAGTAATTCTAAAAAATTTCAAAACGTTTTCTTTATATCTCCTGCAGTTTTGAGATATTTTGCTCAAATTTGAAATGTAAGTTACGCTGAAGGGATTACATCATTGGTTGTCAATGGTAGTGAGAATCTACATGCTGTTGTTTTTTAATTGGTTATGTTTCAGTTTTTACCTCTTTTTCGGTACGTCACTAGTAAATTGTAAAATAAGAAATTGATTGTCTGATTTCTTTGGAAAGTTTTTGTAATTTTTTCGTATTTGTGATCGTTATTGACAAATAAAATTAAAATCACTTTTCGGTAGCTAAATGAAAGTAATTTTTTGAAATGGCCCAATAGGCTCTGGCTATAATCTCTTATCTTGACAGTTCGCATTTGAAATTGAGGAGCAACCTGTATAGGTTATAACGTGACGCACGTTTCATGGTACTTGCAGAAAGTTTGAGGACACTAAAAACATTGTGCTTTGGGGGAGTGTACAAGGCGATTGATGGTAATGAGCGGTCGATACGAAAAGGCGGCCCACATTTTCTAACTAAATTGTTTTTCTTGAAAATATGTAGTATATGAATTTATCGATAACCTGTATTTAAGGAGAATAAAAATCTATATTGCATGAACTATTTCTATATAGGCAGCTTTGAAAGGTTCTGAGAATTGTAAACTCAGTTCTCAAAATATTCTGCGACTGGATCAGCCAGTTTTATTACTTCACACAGCAACAGCTAGTGGAAGGTTGTATCACGATAATTTAACCTCAGTTCAGTTGACCAAGTAGTGTAGAGATTTGATTGGTTAACAGTTCACTAATTATTTGAGTCAACTAAGATCAGTGAGCTTGAACTATTTTTGTACAACCCAGCTCTTAGTGTATTAGAATTATTTCCACAGGTAGGCATTAATATATTGTCAATATTTTTTAGGTCAATACACATGTGACCTGATCCCAAATGATGATTATAGCGCAAAAACTCACTACCTGGTAGGAAATGTTACCATATGGGCAGAATTAACTTACACCGATATCAGAGCAGCTCCAGTTGTTCTGCCTTTCGTTCCCGCAATATCCGTTACATCTAATTTACATCTAGATACATCAGATGGTATACTTGTTGTTAACGGAGCAGATACTGTTTTAGATCAAGTGCAGGTAATTTATTTCTTTTTATTCTTGTACTTAAAATTGGTTTGCAGGTTGAACCGGTAGATGGCACACTTTTACATGTGGGAAGACCAGAAAGGCCAAAAAGTCATACCTTAGTTCATAGGATTACTCCACTCGATCACCACTGGACGTTGGATGAATTAAGAGACGTGATGACTGTGATAGTTAGATCGCCATTAACAAACCAGAAAATAAAGGTTTGGAAATTGATGAACCCGATTACGCACTCATTTCTACTATTTAGGTTCAAATTTTGGCAGACAGGAGGGAATTCTCAATCACATCTATAAATGCATACTACCAATCTCCCATACTAAATTTATTGTACTCGTACGGACCCATGGGTGTTGTCACGCTTGCAGTTTTATTTATAACGTTAAAGGGTAAGTTTGTTTGTGGAGGGAATACATCTGATCGGATCTTTATTTTTAGCGTTCCATTATTTCACACAACCAACAGTTCACATGAATTCTTCTGCACTAAACAGGCCATCCTTAAATTATTGTAAGTATGGAAATTTATTGGTGTATGTAAAAATATGTTTAACATTTAGCTGGAAGTGACGGACTACGACCGATTTATAGATCTCCTAGCACCACCATAAACAGTGATCGATCTCGTTCCTTCGACAGCCCTATTTACGGTGATCCAAATATGTCGTACAGTTCAAGCCCTGATATACGTAGAAGTAGAAAATTCACATAGGATAAGATGACTTGTAAATTAAGTTATTTTTTGTAAAGTTTGTTTTTTTAAAAGTGTGTGACAGATGTCTTTATTTTTGCAACTTTGTGTTAGTAAATTATTACCATATACGTGCCAGTAAATGAATGAATCTGTATCCGTGTGTGACTTTAAGGTACAAAGCTGCATTTTTTACTTAGTAGGTATTAGATATTAATGCTCAAGATGCACTTGCGCTCGTAGTTACCTCAATAAAGGTTGCGTTAAAAAATGTTAGTAAATATTCAAGATTTTATCACAGTATTGTTGCCCTTTAACTGACTCCCTTACACCCGACACTCATTAAGGGCGGATTTCGGTTCAAACACGTCTTCACCTCTTGTAACAATTATATGTTTTGTTCACTATAGAGCTTTACTCCAAAATTGGTGTTACTGTTATTTAAAAAAACGTAAGTCTCAGGTGATTGATATTTTTACATTACACGTGCTTGTACCTCTTCTATCAAATTGTTCAATGTGTGTATTGACTTGTTTATAAACTCCACATTTTCGCCGAGAATGAGGCCGTCAAGGGGGTGGCAAATAGGTACATGTAACCACATTAGTTCCACCACCTAATGCCGGGACTGACCTTGACTCAACTGTAGGTTTGTATTCCACACACGTAAGGCAAGTTACTTATGTAGGGGGCGAGATCCTTCTGACAAAAACTTCTCTGATTGTCATATATGTGCGATGTATGAGTTGCGATTCACTAATTTCCACCTATATCGATAGCTTGATTTGACCAACAAATCAATGTAATTTTCCAACTTGCTTTTAACAGAAGGGTTTTATTGCACCAAAGATGAGTCACCTGCTGTACCTACAGCTTATTTTGTTACCTGCTTGTACCCTAAGTTCTTCGTTTTGCAACTTGCTTTTAACCCGTTTTTATACATATCATGTTTTGGATATGTAACTACCTTATTCCTCGACAACAGTTTCACTATTGCTCATTTGAGGTTATTGACTATTAAAATAACTGATCCAAATATACACATTCAAAACATACCTATACATATATTGTTTCATTTGCGTTCCTTCCCTACCGTACTAACTGGCAAGACTGACTCAAATACAGCTACGTTTTAACGTCCAAAAAAAAATTCATTTCCGTACCTCCCACCAAAAAGAGCCACGATTAACGTCTCGTTCGCTATTTAAAACATTTTCCATTTACTACCTTCCTCCTTAATTCCTTTACAAAATAAATGCGGGTCTTCGAAAGATAAAACCGCACCTGTGTTCAACACGGCCTTACCTTGAAATTTAATTAATGTGCGCCGTGATAAGAAAACTTCTCATCTACGGTCGAAGAAAAACATGAGATAATAAACTTTTACAATTACTACCTACGCAAATAATTTCGAGATGTTAATTACATCTGATCTTAAAACACAAATTTAGATTTACAATTAAATAAACAAAATAATGTATTAATTACAAAATTAAATAATTCGGACACACAACATCAGCATTGTCCTAGAATCTTACCAATATGATCGATATCTGCGTTCAACATCCGATAACAAACAAATTTTGAATGCACATACAGGGTGACTCATTATGACAGCAGGTGCCGAAGCCAAAAAAAACGTCCGCCTGAGGAAATGATATACAGGGTGTTCCTTAACATGATGAAAATACGGAATGGGCCATTTATTATACAGTTAGTGTGTATAATCAAGAATGGGCTAATTCTTTGGAAACTTTAATTTCTTGTAATATTTTGATACTTGCGACCGTTATCAAAAAAAAAAGAAAATCAACTTCGGTAGTTCTATAAATGAAGGAAACATTTTTGAACTGGTCCAGTGGACCCTGACTTTATTTGCATAATCTCTTGTTTTTATTAGTCTACATTTAAAATTGTAGGTATCTTGTGTGTGTGTTATAAATAATAGCTTAATTTGTGAAGTGTACAGTGAAATTATAACACTCTGTAGATCGGTAACAAAGCGTTTGCGGATCTCTGTTTACATGGACTTAGTCATAAATAAGTCACAGAATTAGCACCTTCCGTACTTAGGAGCACTCCGTAATATGTGTATTCTTTGTACCGTGAGCTCTTGGTGCGAATGTCGGGCTCAAGTTACATAATTAGTAAATAATTTCATGTCCGTGAAAGATGAAGGTACAATATTTTAAATATCGGTGTAAAGTCAAAATTAAGCGAGAAATAAAATTCTACGATTTTGTCGTATGGGTTGAAAACTATTGTAATGTAAAATTGTTAAATGTTACTGCATATCCTGGAAGGTTTTCAATAGCTCTTTTTCCCTTCCTTAGTCTAGTCTAGTCCCTAGAGCTATTCTCGTGTGATTAGAAAACTGCAACCCTGATTTAATTTGATCGTTTTTGTAATTAACGTATTTGATTAAATTTCACTCTTGCCATTTCCTGCTTTTTATTTATGTTGGCTGATCCTTTGGGCCGCATATATCCTCGAGCAACAACACAACGTAGGTCCTATCACTAGACAAGTGCATTACTGTGACATTTTCACAATTTAAACTACTAAAAAAGGACTTAACAGCCTCTGGAAGATGATACGTCCCAATTAGTTTTAACCACAATCCATGTTAATGTTAATGAAGAGCTGTACTATTTTTGTATTAAACAATTTTACGCACGGGCATTATTAGTTAGAGATAACACGTCAAAGACATCTTTTAGTTTATAACTTGCTTACTTTTGAATAGCTTTAATTTAACCAGTTGTAAAACTAAATACATTTCAATCGGCGTTAAAATACAAAGAAGATGAGGAACTGTAAATACACAAATTGTTAAAACATACATTGGTGCAAATAAAATTTGATCTACTCTACTTATCCTACTACGTAAGGTATTCATTTTTATTTATCGCATGTAATAATAAGTAAAAATCTTTATTTTTATAAAAAAGAACTACAATCAACTTATATGAAATCAGATCACATTGTATCTACAAATAAGAAGTGACCGACGTAAAATGTAACAAGCAACGACAAAAAATAAAAGTTTGCGCTTCAACTCGTTATAAGTAGATACTTACGGTGTAAAATTTCAATGCTTAGCAAAAATAAAACGAGAACCAAAAAATTGTGTTAGTTTTTACATGTATATACAAGTATACAGGTGTATAGCATTGACGCATAATGATGCGTCGTATAACATTTACACAACAACATTATTAACAAACAAATTTTAAATAGCCACACTCGAAGCCATTGTCCAATCAAATCCGATAGTTTACGTTGTAACAACTGTCGATTTAATATTGATAAATCATGCTAAATAACTGTAAGTATCCTTTTGTCCTTCTGTTCTTTCTAAATATTCCTTTTCTATAAGTATATCGATGCATTTCTATAAAAATTGTATGAGACAGTGTAACAACACAACACGTCTTACCTTTATTATGTGTACTCTAGGCTTGAAGCGAGTGGCAAGCTGATTTAACACCTCCGCGACAAGCTGCTGATGTTTCAAAACCTTACGCATTTTCATTATTCGTACGATAGCAGCTTGAATTAAGAGTTTTCGATCCTCTTCGATGTGTTTATGTGTAGTCTCCTGCTCAAGCTTCAGTTCGGTTTTCATAGGAATATTGATATTGACGCGCAGTTTCTTACTGAAAGTAGACATAAGCGAGGGCACCAACAAATTAAGTTACTTACTTTTTATACGACGAATATAAAGAAACTACTGAATTCGTATTCAGATCATTTTCGTCATCGTCGGACGTTAAGAGTTTTGCTTTTAGTAAAATTTGAAGTACTTGCACTAAATAATCGCCTTTGATTTGCGTATGTTCGGATAATTGAGCTACCGTCCACGTATCGGCGACATTGTATTGCAAAAGCACAGCCATTTGAAAGGTACTAGCTTGTAGGGTGTAACTACAACAGAATTTAGGTCAACACACGCTTGAACGGAATTCATCAAAGTATACCGATTTTTAAAGCAATTGGTAACTAGTTCACCCTTTGACATGTTGTAAAGCCAATTGAGCTTTCTACCGGAGTGCTGTCCGGAATAAAAACTAGTAAATCTATGCACGCTACGTTCCAGCTGAAAATGAATTGCATGTTAATTTAGTTAAGAAACTGAAAATTGTAAATACTCCACATTCATTTATAATTTCCCTTCATGTTTATTGCTCGTTTGAATCTGAAAAATGTCAACTGTGTGGGGGAAAAAATACTAGTATGAAGAAAATTAGTACTTAAAAATAGACCAATTACAATAAGTTCTGAAATGGTTCAACAAAATCTCTGATGGCCAACATCCTTAAAAATGAATAGTTCAAAACGTGGCAGTCACAAAGTAGGCAGGTATGAGGGAGTTATAAAACAAGTAAAAAGGTTTTTGGCCTAAAGCGAGTAACGTTACCACATTCTCCATGCATTGATTAGTACTTTCCAAAAGATCCTGTGAGCTATATTTTTGTTTACTAAAAGCATCTATGGTTGCAAAGAAATGTCTATAAAATTGGCATTCCGCAATCTGCGCATGCGCACATCTGATTTTTACAATATGCGATATGTTTGGCTTTACTAGAAACATTTGTGGTTAAAATTTCAACAAAATATCTCAATAACTAACAAAGTTGACCATGCGCACTCTACGCATATTAATCGTCAAGATTTTCTTAGTTCAGGTGCCAGAGCTACCGAACTCAAAAATAAGAAATATTAAAAACTGCTGGACTAGTGTGTGTGAGTAAAACCCGGACCCGGACCTGGACTTGGTTGGTAAAATCCGGACCCGGACCGAGATTTTATGGGTAAAACCCAGACCCGGACCAAGGCACGGTCACGAATCACTTTTGTGGGTTTTTTGTAGTATGAGACTAACTACTAGATCTTTTATAACTTGTTTGAAATTTGGACTGCGCCTTCTTTATAGTTTAGGAAAGAACGGTATTAATTTTAGTCCCCATCAATAGGGACAAGAGTTACAGAGATTCTTGTGAATCGAGAATGGTAAAAATACAAAGGTGACCTCAAACAATCGATTTTCTTATTCAACTGTTTGCCATCAAACACACAACAACTACCATTCTGTGCTTTTAAGTCTTTTGTAAAAAACCTGCTAGTCATGAACGCTTTTTATACATTTGAAAATTATGTTATTTATTGTAAAAGTAATCTGTGATATTTTTCTGTTTGTATATTTTGTATTTTTTATTTGTATTATCTATTCAGTGTATGACAAGTGTAAGTGAAGCATCAAATGAGCACAATAAAATATTATTATATTATTATTATTATTAGTGATTCAATTTCTTATTTATGGGGAGATTTTTGTGACATTTTAACGGTAGGTCCTTTGACTAAAAATTCAATGTGCGTGTGAATTTTTTACGAAATTATGAGAAATACACCTGAAAATGAACAAATTCGCATATCATTAGATGAGAAAAAAATCTTGCATGGGGTCATCATAAACCCACGGAAGTCGGAAGTTAACCTACATGTGGAGCAGTGGAGCAACAATTTGCAAAAAACATTTGAATTTTTAAACATATTAATTGTTTATGTTCGGTTTTGAAATACTTACCAGGTATGTGCCTGAATTCAAAATTTAAGCGCCGGCGTGATTTAGTTTCTCTGGAAAATATAAATTCGAAAAACGGTCAAATTTTGAGAAGAAAAGGTTATAATAGCGAAATGATAAAGTTAAGGGTATGCTATGTTACATAAAAAATAAAAAAAGTACTCTACAGTACTTTTGAATTTCTCAATAAAATATGGGGTGTTCCATTTTTAAAAAACGGATGTTTGATACGCTAGTGAAATACAGCACGCCACTGGCGACCAGAAATATTTTAGAAACTTTTTTGCTCCTCCATTTTTTTCCGATATCTTTTGTGGCGAAGGCATTACGATTCGAGGGGAATGTTACACCCTGTATAAAATACATATTATACAAAGGGTAGTTGCTTACTTACAACTTACAAGGAAAAACATGCATTGAATTTGTTGAATTCGTAACTGTGATTTAAATTCCAGCCCGATAAAAGTGCGTAATATTCGCAACGTGGAGGAAATTCTCAGAGACGCCTACACAGACATTTGCTTTACCTTTAAATGTAATTTAATCTATGTAAATACGTAAAAGAATGTGGGGTAGGTCAAGGAAGAGATAATATAATGCAGCTCGTGTGTCGAATACGTACGATTAGGGCTTCCGATGATAGGTTTAATTGCAAAAGCCCCCTATATCTTCGTTATGGAACTAAATAAGCGGTTTAGCAACTTGCCCATTTACGGTGTCTATCGAGTGTAGTATAGTATATTCCCTGTAGCTTTGCCGGTATGTCGTTAGCGCTTAATTTTTGAAGACACGTTCTTGCCTTTTTCTAACTTATGTATATCATTGGGCATTTCTGAACGCCCCGAGCAATTCACAAGTAAACAAGGCTATTAACCATTGAAGATGAGATTTGAACCATACAGTAGGAATTCCTAATTACAAACCGGCAAAGCTACAGCGAATATACTATATTATCTTTGATTATAAGAAGGTAGTAGATGGCGCTGTTTGAAGATAAGCACACACAGGAAAAATATGAAATGACACCAAAGTAGGAACACTGTGAATAGAAATAACCCAAACGATTCCAAGCATGGATTTTTGACATTAACACTAATGACAGTTCGACAGTTTAGTTGGCCACACAAACTACCAAACTTACAAAATTCGTCACGCGTTTTATTTTTGAGCGTAATACTGACTTGTGTTTTAACCAATCACAGTGAAGGTCAAATCTTCCCTATGCTTTCTACCGCTACCGTTTTAAAATGAATAGATATTTTCTATTTATTCAGAATTCAACGCAATTAAGAAGTTTGAAGGCGGCGTGAAAGAATAAGACGTGAAGAAATAGAGACAAGACAAAGAGTGTAACAAAATCATAAAACATGCATGAAGAAAGCGTACAGAAACAACGGTTAAGAAGACCTAAAGAAGTCATGAATGTGGTATTACGGATCCCAGGGGAGAAGGCGTGAAGGATGGAAGTAAGAAAACATCAAACATTCACTAAATATGAGTGAAAAGTACCTATTGTTTCCCCTTCAAATTGTGACACGTGTAACATCAAAACTGTAATTTCAGACAATGCGTCTGGAAGTTTTCTCAACAAAATTTAGTGCATATGCCACAATTTTGATATCATTGTGCCAAAATTCACTTGGCTGCTATAGTCCATCTCACCTTGACTTTACAGTACCTAGAACATAGGTAAATGCAATAGTTATAAGGGTTTTTAGCGCGGCGATACGATTTATATAGACTACAAATACGCCCATTTTCTTCAAATCATATTCTAATTGCATTGGGTATCGTTATTGACCATAAGAACCTGTACTGCAAAGTCAAGGTGGAATGGACTATATGACCTATATGATAGTGAATGTAACGCAAGAAAGAGATAGTTTGATCTCAGTCTGTCACACTTCCACAGTAAAGTCTTATAGTGTTTCCACACGAAAAAGGTACGTCAAAACGCAAGGCAAACCAAAATAAACAAAAGCAAATGTAGCGCATTTTCCATGCACAGATTACTATTTTCTGAAAGGCTATATAGCCTCAAGCATTTTTACAGTCGACCATGCACAGCCTGCGCATGTACGTATTTGATTTATACCATATTTGATAAGTTTGTCTTTACTAGTAGCATATGTGGTCAAAATTTCCAAAAAATATCTCCGTAAATAAAAAAAGTTGGCATTGCGCAGTTTGCGCATGCGCACATGTAATTTATTTACTTTTATTAGAAGCATCTGTTAAGGCGGTATGACACTATGCAATTTCTTGTACAATTTCTTGTATCGTTTCTTATCCAAAAAAAAATGCATAGTGTCATACAGGAAGCAATTTCTTATCTCAGAAACCATACAAGAAAAAGTGTTGTAGACATTTTCCTGTACAAGACTTGCGCGGGTTTTTGCGCAAACTGCACAAATGCGACTTCCGCTTTCCCCAGCTTCAAGTGGCTTGAAGTACGTCATCACAAACAGCTGACGACAAACCATAACCTATTTCATTTAACTGTTAAAATAAAAATTAAAAATAATAATAAAATTAATATAAAAATTAAAAATAAATAATCAGACATATCACTTGCCAGGTGTTTTTTTTTTTTTTTAATAAGGCTTTTCGGGGTCATGCCCATTTTGCCTTCGATGTAGTTACCTCAAACTAGGGATAGACAGTGGTTTTAACATTTCACGCACAGGGGCCGATCAGTGCGACTTTGTACCACACATAGGATGGGCACGGAAGTTTCAAATACATGTAAGGATATGGACACAGATGAATGTAACGGTTACAATACTATGGACGCACATAAAGTTACAGTTTTAGTCTAATTGCTCTTACATATCAATGATGACATCATAGATTGGTTTACGGCAGCTATGTAGTAAGGTCGTGATATTTGTGGGAAAGGCTACGCCTTTTTCGCTTAGCTTTTCTAATAGGTTTCTAATTTTGGCCTCACGCTTAACACAACTAAAAAACAGATGATTCAATTATAAAGTTACAAACTACAAACATATATGTACATGTTTGCCAACCATAATTTTGACCAATCATAAGTCGCGTTTCATCCAAAGAAATTGCATAGTGGCATACAAACTGAATGCAAGAAATTGTGCAAGAAAATGAATACAGTTTCATAACCAGGTTCTTATACGAGAAACGATCCAAGAAATTGCATAGTGTCATACCGCCTTTACAGACTTAGTAGCAGCAGAAGGTACCACAGCACGCGTTTCTTTCTCGAGGCACTATCTACAATAGATTCAAAACCTCGTAGCCAGCCTACAAGTGATGACTAAGTGTATTGACTTCATCATCGGAATGGAAGAGAATGAGGACTTGTGTCAATATCAGCTGTACAGGCTTGTGATCTTAGATATTTACATCATACGTTGACACCTCCGACTCATCAACCCGACCTTTATAAAAGGTCCTTCAGCTACAATATCACAAAGCTCTATAATGACTTTCCACTTTCTCTGAAAGACCTACCGTATCACTCGTTTACGAAACAGTTAAAACACTTACTTCTAACAGAACAGAACAGAATTAATCTACTCTTTTTAGCAAATTGAACAGTAAGAGTTGTTTTTTTTTTCTTCTTTTGGTAATATTTTTTTTCCTGTTTTTATGATGTCACACACGAACTGCCAGAATGTAGTTTAAATTATACGAGGTGGTGCCTAGCGCAAGCCAGCAAATGGATTTCAATGGTAATTTCTTTATAGTCAAGTACTAGCTCCCCTAATTATTTTAACTTAAAAGTCTAAATACTTTTTTTTAAAGAAAAAAATACTGCATCTGTTCATATGCTTACTTACCAATTTCCGTTTTTCAAAACCGTAGAAATCAACAAAATAATTGACTATAAAGAAATTACCATTGAAATCCCGATGCTGCGTCGCGCTAGGCACCACCCTGTATATAGGCAATAATCTTTAGTTAGATCAGATCACCATAAAGTGTGATGAATTCCGCCTTGACATTTTTTTTTGTTTTCGTTACTGTTTACCTTTTTTTCTGTAATGTTTATGATTCTCTGTACGAAACAAAAAAAAAGCCATTATTATTATTACGGTCAATCTTCCTTGGCAGAACTCAGGTCTAGCCTGAATATCTAATCGTACGGATTAAAATCAAGTAACGATTAGTGTTTGTCTGTACGTTGTTCGTCTAGTCAAGTTTTGTCAAGTCCTAACCTTTATAATTTTATAAATGATAGTAAAGAACAAAAAAAATGTTTAATAATAAAAAAAATAAAATAAAATAAAACACACACATATTCTACAAGTTTAACAATTTAAAAAAGTTTAGCACAAGTCAGAAACCATCACAAACGCATTTACTACTTATTTGGAAGGTCTATTGTCGATGAATAGTAATTTACATAAAAGTCACGAAAATGACACACAAGGGGGCATCTGGTAGAGGATATCTTGAGGATATCCCTGGATATCTAAGGTTATCCCGAGGATATCTGAGGTTATCCCAAGGATATCTGAGAATATCCGGGGATAGCTAAGAAAACTCCGTAAAAATTAACCACGTGATTTCTGCAGGCGATTAAACGTGCATGATTAGACTCGCCCAGACTCGACGCGAAGGGTTTTTAATTCGTGCATTTTATGGTATTGTGCGAGCTTATTACTTTCAAAAGGTTAAGACTTGTAGTTTAAGTACAATGTAATATACTTGTAGCTAACAAACATTTAATTAAGTAGAAACAGTTTCTACTCGAGTTTTTATGATACAACTTCTTTTTGAAATATTTTTTGCCCTTGAGCCATTTTGCAAAATTTTGCAGTTTTAAAAGTTATGTACGAAGTTATATGTACAGGGCTCACGGAGAAAGAACATTTCGGGCCGCGCACGATCGTGTACTTTAATAGCTTTAGATTACTTACCAGTGGCGGCGTAAATTATAGAAAACACGAAGGTATTTGTAGTTATGTTATTTTTTTATTAATATAAGTTATAATAATTTGTTTGTGTTATAAAAAGCAATTTGTGAAAATAATACAACTCATAATGTTACATGCCTAAATATTTCCACGAGGCAAACAAAATTTTTATGTACCTATTACGCCACTGGATATTCCTTATTACCGCGCCTAAAATATATGAAAAAGGACGAGTGCGCATTCGACCTTCAAACGTTCTTTCTCCGTGAGTGCTACACCTACTCGTTCGTCGAGTAATTAGTACTTTAGAATCCATTAAGCACTGCGGGTCTATTAAAAAACAAAACTTTATTTTACAGCAGAAGCCATATAAATCATTAGGTATAAAACTTAAGAAAATTCTGAATTTAATTTAGACGTCAAAAATAGCAAACTTTATGTCCCGTCGCTGCCATGGAAACAATATTGTATTCTATTCTCAACTCAACATTGTATTTCATGCTCCGCGTCCCATTTTTAATAAGAATGACAGATGTCATTAGAATGCATATCTTGGTCTAAGATGCACACTCATCTGTTTCACTTTATCTACCCTTGCGGTTAAAGCAATCACTTTATCTACCCTTACGGTTAAAGAGCGAGTTAGCCTACTTATTCAAACATATTAAATTGTTAATTTAGTTAACACCTCCTATAAGATAAAAAATTATTGTTTATTGTACGTATACTAACTATTGCTCACGTACTTACTTATTTACCTTTTCCACATAAATCCAGTTACTAATTACGCAGTACACAGTTATACCTATAGACCTCTCGCTATGCTAGACGTTCTAAACGAGGTTTCAAATCACTTTTTACTATACTTTTAGAAGGCCATGCATATCAGGGAATGTCGGAGGATATCTAGGGATATACTCAAAGATATCTGAGGATATCTGTGGATATCCGAGGATATCTGGGGAGATCCTAGGTTATCTTGTCTAAAAAGGATATCTGGTGTACACAATTTTATGACACGATGCCCCCTCGATGACACATTACTGGTGAGGAAATATTGAGGTATGAGGCACTTTAATTTCTGGGTCAAGTAGTGCCATTTCATGGTCCCAACAATACAAATAGCAATAAAAAAATCTGATAAACATATGAACTCACTTCGGTCGGAAGGCCAAACGTAAACGATTGTTGGAATGGCCACGAGCCCGACGACAGGACTTGAATACTAAAGTCAATATCCAAAGGTTCGTTAGAGTTGTTGAGGTGAGTGCGAAATTGCTCATTTAAATCTTTAGATACTCCAATATCCTAAAACGGCAAGCTAGTTAGGTTGAACATTTGACAGTGGATTTACCTGGAACATTCGTTGTAACTTGGATGTGTATTCAAAACCGCAAGCTTGTTTTAACTTAGAGATCATGGAAGCTTCTGCATCATCGCTTGCAGACATATGCTGAACTAATCTCTTAGCAAGCATTTTACTATAGAACTTTTGGAATACGTCCTTATCTTCAATATATTTGAACACTACCATCTAAAAGGCATATAAGTTTAGACTGCAGATCTGGCTCAAAAGAAACGTCAAAACTTACCACTTGATTCAAAGTATCCTCTAACTCTGCCTCTTCCGGATTCTTGCTAGACTTTTTCAAAAGAAGATCACAGTATTTTGCTAATAACTCTGGAGATTTGCTACTAGAATTGGCTTGCTTTGTAACCGCATTGGCATTGATGAAACGTCCACAGGCCTTATCTAAAGCGGCAACAAATCCACTGTCATTGTTAAAGGCGACCAAAACCAACGCGTTATACTTTTTATGAACCTCTAAAATGGTGTTCACGTAGATTTTAGGATCCTGCCGAATGACAAATGAGAACTACCACCTGATCAAGCCGTACTTACATTATGTGCGGCATCTCCACACTTTTCAATGGCGGCAAGTCCCTGATTGGCAATATGCTGTTCAAGAAGCGATCGTAACTCACCTAGTCCATCTGGAATTCGGGCGACAAGCGAATACATACGTCCCAAATCGGCATCCTTGTCCGCATCTAACAACTGCTGAAATTCCGCGTGGAAAAGTTCCAAATGTTTCTGAATCAACACCCTCTCGCAAGTCTTCGCCAATCGTTCACTGGTAGTTTCGTGAAGATACACCTGCACCCTTCGCTGTTCCTCGTGTAGCCTCTGTTCAGCCTTTTTCATGTACTCGGTAACCGGATTTTCGGCAAGGAAATTTGTACTTTCGCGCGTATAGAAACGTTCGGTGTCTTCTAGAAATACATTTTCGAAGCTCTCTTTGTACACACTAAGATTTGGTCCTTTAGCGCCGGGCTCCTCCTCGTTCAATCCCAGCTCCACGTAACAATTGATAACGCCCGATACGAGACGCGTATTTATCGTTTCCCCGTTGCGTTCTCTTTCGATAAGTTTCAATACTGCATTGGTTACCTGCAGAGATGGTAGAAAACAAACACATAAAGTTCAATGAAACAAAGTTTTCTGAAATGGTTAGGGATGTACCGCACACGCTACTTGTGATTAAATGAACTGAATACATTGGTTCCAGAAGGCCATCTTCTGGTCCTAGAAGTTATTACGTTTTTCGAACGAAAAAATAAAAAACCAAACACCACCACCTCATACATAAGCTCGGTAGCACAGAATAATCCTGAAGTCCTGAACACACTTGAACAACTGAAAACAAAACTAATAACCACAAAAAGGAGTCTGGGCCATAAATTCAAAAACTTTACAGAATTTTTTTGAAATAGCTTCTTTGGCGGTTTTTGATTAGTTATTTCTAAACACTCATGAGTTGTGAGAATCTTTCGTATAAAAAATATCAAGGGACACAAGATTAAAACACAATTTAGTCCTTTGGTATACAGTATGTCCCGAGATGAAGTTCACTATACCTGTAATCGACCATTTTTTTTATTGTTCGAGAAAAAGTCATTCTTTATAAAAAGCCCTACTTGTTCCAAAATTCTTTTACAGCGACCAAGATAGTAATGCTAATGCAACGAATTTGTAAGACCCTGTATAAAACGTCTTTATGCTGAGAAAACAGGCCAGTTCTGAAAACCAATTCAAGTAAATGGAAAACGCCCGCCTTTCACCAAGATCCAAAAGATTTACCATGTAGTCAAAAAGAATAAAAAAAGAATTACATGATTCGAATTATAAAAAAATAATTAGCGTCAAGTAAAATACTACGTTTTAATTATTAATTAATTAATTAGCTGGTTTGCTGATGATTGAGGATCAGATGAGACAGAACAAATATAACCAGTGACTGCACGTTTACTTAGTACATTTCGAGTCGAAGCAAAATATGACAAGAAAAAAATTAATTCGGTTGGAAGAACCAAAGCCATTTGAAATTTTAAAAGTTGTGTATTACATGAAGGAAGGTGTGAAGAATTTGCGAATTAAAGTTTGCGCAAACGCCAAAGTATGGACTACCTAATGAAATGACAAACTTTGGCGCTTATATGCGTACAGATATGGTCAAAAAATCCTGGTGATAAGTAAAAATTAAAAAAAGGGTACATAATGGATACTCACCTGTTTGTTTAGTTGCTTGAAAAGATTATCCCGCCAAGTCACCAAAGCTAGTTGATATATTTCGTAAATACCCTTCCTTCCCTCTTCGCATTCACGCTTCACCCAATGTCGATTTAAATATGCACAGACCCCATTTAAAACCTTACTACTAAATTGATATTCTTCCCATTGTCTTGTATAAAACTTAAGAACATCCTCGTCCATACGATGTATACCATCCTAGATAACGTAAAAGGTGTAAATTATGCGAATAAGTCTTAGTGATTTTTTGATAAATAAAAAATAGGTTTCTACATTGTCATTACAAAATGGAGAAGTTTCCAGCTTTTGGTTGTAATTATGAAAGTTTTAGTAAAACGAAATAAAATTGCGAAAGAATCATTAAAATATCTCCACAAATGCAAAAGTTACAAGACTAAAGGAAAGATGATGTCGTTGCAGCGTGTGACGTCACTTGACCCACTCGAATACGATGCCTATTCATTAGCTTAATCCGTGTACGGTTGTTTATTGGTGCGCTGCAGCATTACCATCGTAACGGCAGCACTCGATTGGGTCAAATGACGTCACAGACAGTACGTGAAACTAGTCCCTTCTAGGTTACCAACTAGACAATCAAATAACACTGAAAATTAATAAACCTCATTCGACTATTTATTGCGATACAAATAATACCCAAGACGGCTAACAAATTGTTATATCAAATGTCAAACCTTAATGATATAACTTCCGATATAATACTTGTAATGGATAAAATTCATAACTGTTATTAGTAGCACCTACTGTGAAAAATCTTTAGTCTCTCCTCTCATTTGAGACTTGGGCGTCTTCCTTTAAATTTGGACGTAACATCTACGTTGGTCACAACGACCACTGCAATTTATGTTACTCTGGTCACTACGTCCATTATAAAGTTTGGTCGCCTATTCAAAAAATGGACAGAAGAAAAAGAAGTCAATGTTACAACCTCAGTTGACACATTGATAGACAATAAGTATCGTGGTCCGTGGCTCCTACTTTGATTGAGCCTGCAGTGTATCTCAACTGATTCTAAAGATAGAGATTTGCGGTTTTCATGACCCACTTGTTTGTGAAACTTTTAATACCACAAATAGAATCGATCTCTAGCTGCGTTTGTTTCTGAGATACAGGGTAAAAACGAAAAGTTTGTTTTTTGGGATCTTATCATATCTTGCTTACCCATGTGAGATAGAAAAAAGATAAAAACTGTGTATTTTAGATACTTTTGCATAGAATCAAATGGCATAGTAAAAAAAAATTATTAGACCACTGTTTCTGAGACTTGACCCAAAGTTGGTATATTTTAAATGTAACACCCTGTATATATTAACGTCAATTGTTTTGCATTCTTTTTAGCGCATTTCCACAAAAATTTAAAAAAAATGCGCTATATATAAAAAACAAAAAACCGTTTTTTACATGTTCCATAATTTTACACTTTTGCCGTTTATTAACGATCCTAGAGATCTGGTCTGTCTGTTCCTTTGTCTGTCTGTCCATCTATCTGTCCGTGTGAACGATAACTTTGTTTAGAAATGTTCGATCGCTTTTACATCTCCGTTAGTTGAATTGCATGAAATTCAATATGGGCATAGCTTTAGCCATAATAATACGCAATGCCAAAAGTTGAATCGAATCGATTCAAAATTCACAGTGCCCTTTTCGCATCTCGACCATTTATAAACCGAATTGCAAACTTTTTTGCTTATAAAAGTATTTGAATGAAATTTGATACATAGGCACTTGGAATAAAGGAACGCCAATTTCAAAATTTGGTTTTGCGCATGCGCAGTGCCAACATTTTTATTTATGGAAGAATTTAAATGAAATATGATACATAGGCACTTGGAATAAAGGAAAATCTAGCGCCAGTTTCAAAATTTTATTTTGCGCATGCGCAGTGCCAACTTTTTATCTATGGAAGCATTTAAGTGAAATTTGATATTTAGGCGCTTGGAACAAAGGAAAATCTAACATTAGTTTCAAAATTTAGGTTTGCGCATGGGCAGTTCCAACTTTCTTATTTAGAAAAGCATTGAAATGAAATTCTTCTCATAAACTGAAATTGAAGTAGCACGTCAACAATGGATTGCCCATGTGCAACGCTATTTTTCATATTTGTGGCCGGATTTTTACGATTTTAATAGAAGTTGCAACTTACAAATGGGAAATGAATGCAAGTGGAAATGCGCTTTATGAAAATCGTTTACGATTACTTTTTAACTTGTTCCTTATTACATTGATGTATCACTTTTGTTTTTTTAGCGCATTTTTTAAGAATTAAAAAAAATGTGCTATTGTTTGCGTTTTGTCCGTCCGTCTGGACCCATTTCTACCGTTTTGAACTACTTCTAGGGGAATGGTCCTAGAGTCCTGGAATTTTTTGCAGTAGGTAGCCTATACCTTGAAGGTGTGCCAGACGGTCATCAAATTTCGCTGTCTAAAAGACGACCCCCCCCCCACGAATTATTTCGTGAGATGCTGTTTTTGAAAGGAAAACGTGCATAACTTTTACATACGACAACCAATTGGTCTCAGATTTTGCATACGCTTGCCTTCAGTGGTGCCAAGTTAAACTTTAGAAAAATTGGGAGGGGGGGGGAGTTAACACATGTTCTATGAAATTCTAATGAAAGGTCTCATCAAAATAAGTTGTTTGTACAAACTATAAGTTTCCCATGCGACTCTTCCGAGATCAATGAGCGACGGGATCTGAGGGGGGGGGGGTAAAAATTAATTTCATCTCATTGTATTCTAATTAAAGGTCTCAACGAAAGGAACCGTTCTCTACCAACTACTGCACTTCTTTCTGCCCTCTTATCAAAGTACGGGGTGGTGGGGGAGGGGGGCTGGAGATAGTTTTATCCTTCATGGTACTCTAATGAAAGGTCTCAATGAAAGGAATTAATTTCTACCAACCATAGCCCTCTTCCTCGACCTCTTATTGTGATCGGGTATATTCCCTTATACCTCAAGAACGGATTGTCGGAAGAGGGCACTCACAAAGGGCGATTGAGACGTCTGCAAGAAATATATCCATTTGTGATGTCAAAACAAAAGCTATTTCGGTTTAAAAAATGCGCTTTATCTGCACACATGTTGTGCAACATTTATACTTGTTTCATTTTAGCCATTAAAATCAATAAAAACATTATTTTTTTACTGTTTTTAAATAGTAGGCCACGGATTCATGGAGATTTTGTTTTGTTTACTGTATCTATAGTAACTAAAACAGCTGGTACCAATCAATAATTACAGTGACTTTATAAGGACAGTATCGACAACTTATCAGAATCTGCCATATTGGAGCTAAAAAATTAATTGTAGGATCAATATACCTTGTCATGTCAAATTGTGACCGTTCTGTCACTTCTTGTCCCTTGTGGCGTGTTTCTCCTTCCGGGATAAAAAGTATTACTTTAGTCCCTTAAATTGAAGACAAAACACGTTGATCTAGTCCACGGAGTACAAGAGATTAATATTCCTTGTACTTCAGCAATCATCAATGTTAAACATTAAACCAATTCAAGCGTATTTATGATCACAATTGCGTTACCCATAACCATAATTGAATTTGCTGCTAAATTTCGGATAACTAACCAGTTTTCTATCTAAACTCATTAGGTATTTAGGGCCTTATAATATCGTAAATCCAAGCTATATGCTCGGCCATATGCGTCTTTAATAAAAATCGAGTTTATATAAAACTGGAGACGGAAAACGTAAAATAAAACAAACACAAGAAGCAAAGTGTAAACTAGTAACTTGAACGTGACAATTAGAGGTGGCATTGTCAAAACAGGATAATTAATAATTTATAGCACGGAGTGTACCGCGTCGTTTTGGAGGCTTTCTATTCGTCAGTTTGAGATTTAGCTCCAATATGGCGACCGGAACCAACGACCAATCAAAAACGAGATATCCTGTGGTCGCCACTGTCTCTATCAAGTCACTGTAGGTTGACTATGTTTATGGTACTAAAAGTTTCACAAAAAAGTGGCACAGGATTGTGAAAACCTGCATCTTTAAAAACTACTGTATCAACCAAAATAGGAGACAGGGTACAGAGTACAGACCTTGTAGGTTTATTAACGTACATTCTTTATATCGCGATAATTGTCACACTTACTACGCTGTAACTTTGTGGAATTACTTACCATAAAATGTACCAATGTACGGGGTCAAATCCTTTTTATGTTTTGAGAAATCGATTTGTCAATTTAGAAAATGCAATTCATAGATACTTGGTTGCAACTTGCACAGTTTTAAATAAACAAACTGAGTAGGAAAATGGCATAAAAATCATAAAACTATTTAAAATTGATTTTCAAACCTGTTAAAACTTTCGACCAATGGCCAACTTATGAAATCTTCAGTGCGAATTTCCCCAAAGGAGAATGGATGCTACCTTTCTATTTACCCGTAACTGTTAATTGGGCGCGCCTCTGCTTTAGACCACCTGACCATCAACAACAAATATAAAATCAAAATATCAAATAACTAACCGATTATCATGCTTTAAAGAAAACCAGAAAATAACGATTACTTCCGAGGATATGTCAGAAAAACCAAAATTTACCAATTTTGTTTTTATTTTTTTCTGATGCTATTTGAACAGATACAAAAAAATAAAAAACACCTTCTCATAGCTACTTTTTAAGCTGCACAAGACACCGTTGAGAGATTTTTAATACAACATTTCATTGTATGGCCCATTAAAAAAGTACACTGTATGTGGCAGTTTGTATTACGAATACAACAATGTAAGGCACGCAAAAAAAAACAAAAGTTGGAAACTGTTGGTATCAACAGGATGGTGCCCCCGTGCACAACGCCCTAAACGTGCGAGAACACCTATCAAAAAAATTTTCCATTTCCCGGGACATTTGCCCGATAGGTATTCTCTCGCACGATTAGTGCGTAGTGTGCGGGTGCACCACTCTGTTCCAACCAAAGAGTTGCTAACGTTTGTTTTTTTTTGTGGCGTACATTGTTGTATTCGTAATACAAACTGCCACATACAATGTGTACATTTTTAATGGACCAAAGAAAAAAATGAGGAAAAAAATGAAGTTGTATTAAAAATCTCTCAACAGTGTCTTGTGCAGCTTAAAAAGTAGCTATGAGAAGGTGATTTTTATTTACGTATTTGTAATAAAAATGCTATTCAATACAATATGTACTTTACAGGTCATACTTGGGGTCATATAAAAAAATAAAGTTGATGATTTCTCCAAAACGAAACGTTGTATTGAGAATCTTTTAACTCGGTCTTTGTCTGTCGTCTAGAGCTCAAATGGTGACAATAAGAAAGTGGTTTTTTTTAATAGTTTGTATCTGTTCAAATCACATCAGAAATAAAAACGAAATGGGAAAATTTCGGTTTTTCAGCATATTTAATATGCTATCTTTTGGATTAAAATATACAAGGTGTTCCATTGCAAAAAATGAATAACTTTTTTACTTGACCCCCATATACTTATTTTTAATTTAATTATTTAGGTATAAATATAAATAAATCATAAAGAAACTTTTGTATGAAACATTTATCTGTACCTCTTTTAACTAAGAAAATATAGGGCTATTCTGAAATTGACAATATTTTTATTTGTCCCCGCATCTCTTAAGCGCGCACATATTTTCAAATTTATTTTTATTATTTTTAACCTCAAAATATGTGAAATAATTTCAAATGGAAGCATTCTAATTTTCATATCTATAACTCAAACGCGAGCTCAAACGATTTGAGGGTGAGAACTTTGGTTCCATCTTTAAAGACCCTAGATTGAGGCATATTATTGTTTATGTTCTCCCAACAATGTAAACTTTTATATATAAATTGGGACAGTTTTCAGACATTGCTCACATTTTCAAATGTGGAATACGTTTATAAAATTTCTACTCACATTGATATAAAATTACAACTATTTTACACATATAAAACAGTTCGTTGTTAGTAACTTTCAGTTATGGAGACTAGTCAATTTCATTTTTTGTTTACCTTTCCATTAAGATTATATGACTCGATTTAGCAGGTATTATAGTTTGCTCTTCGGTTTACTCCACTTATGGTCGTTTGCACGGACAAAGTTAAGTGGAGCTTAGCTTAAGCGTAGCGTAACATCCATGGCAACGATTATTAAGACAATGGTTGCCATGGATTTTAAGCTACGCTTACGCTAAGCTCCGCTTAAATTTATCGGTGCAAACGGCCATTAATATAATAAATAGGTATACTTTTTATCTTATCGTAATGCTGTCAGTATGTATTCTTTTGTATTATATAGTGTTATTTACACTTTGTCGAATAGTATGTCTTGTTTGTTAGGCAATAATAATAAATAAAGTATGCATATATGGGGTAAACAAACCAACACCACAATAGCACATTTTTCAAAATGTGCTAAAAAGTATTTAGCGATGTTAAAATACCTAATTCTGAAATGTTATTAATTTCACATTACACGTATTCCTGGACATGAAGTGAAACGTAAAAGTTTTACGCTACCTTTTTGTAAAAAAAGTCGATACTGTCAAAAGTCTACAGTTAACAATTCATCGCCTTTTCTCAAATAAACATTTGACCGAAAATAAATAAAAGGTAATAGTCGAACAAAGCTTAAAACCAACAACAAAAATTGGAGCACTTACCGATAATAAAGATACTAAATAATTTCTTAAAAAGTCTTTTAAACGTTTATATAATTCTAGACCGACAAGCTGTGCGCCTCCGTTCACTTGATTCTTTTTACTTTTGGTAGAGCTGCTATTTGCGTTCCGTCCATTCGATTGTTGATGTACCGACGTACAGTAATTATAAACGTGAGTGTATAGTTGCATGTATCGAGGTTTCGCCATCATCTGACGATTATAAACATGTTCGATTCCAGAGTTTAGGTCGCCCCAAATTTGATCCAAATCTATCTGTTTGAGACCCTGCGAACTATTAGTGCTGCTTCCTATGGAGCCCGCTAAATTTTTCTGCGACATTTTTTCTTCTCTGGAAGTGCTACCAATACTGAAAGAACATAAACATTAGCAAGTCATATGGGGCTATAAAAGACAAACAAAAGTTAGGTAGAAGAAGCACTAAGCTTTATGTTTGAAGGCAAATAAATAATTATGATGCTGTTGTGCCTTCCAATGAGCCGTTAAATGCAATATGTTCTATGAATATTTGGAATACAACAAAGTAAGACATTTTTTTTTGTTTTGCACAATTATACATAGGTACATAAATAATGCGTGTAAAAAATGTATATTTACTTACTGGACTAACTAAACATAACCAAAATTTGGAAATTGTATGTGGAATTTCAGTACGTTTGGACTTTAAATTTTCTTTCTTTTTTATAAAATTTTCTTTACTAAATTTATACGACGGTGACAGTTTCTCTTTGTGGTCCACCCAGTAGGACCAACCTGACCATTTCTAATTTACCCACAAATGAAAGTGGCTATGGTACACCGTAGATGACATGGATATGGCTAAAGTCACATTAAAAGACCGCGAAATTTGCCCTGTTTTATTCAAAATAGTGCGCCAAATTTAAAATCAAGCCAGTTGTGTTCATTTTATTTTACTGTTAAATATCAAAACTAGGATAGCTGGTATCATTCTGGTATCCAAGGCTGGTACAATAAATAAAATAAAACATACAGTATGTCCCGCGAAGAACTGACTCGAATATTTTGTGTGAAAATTCCAGATCCATTATTTTTAGGACGTGTGTAAATAACGCCTAGTTTTTACAGGGCAAAGTTTTCATTTTCAGTTTTTTCCACAAGACAACACAAATAAAGTTTATAGGTACAATAATTAACAAAAGTACTTATATTATAACTAATAATAACGGTACCATTCCAGTATCTCGGTTCCCGTCATCATAATTTCATGAATAAGGATTATGATTCAAAGTGTTTATAAATGTAATCGGTTTCGCTTCCGGTACCCGTTGTTTTCGATTCCAACCCGTGTTTCCAACAAATCGTTATAATGTTTCTTACTAAAACCATATATGACACTTCGGCCCGTTCCTCCCTGTGCAATATAACGATAAATATAAATGAGTTTTCGAAAGTTTACTAAACCATTCGGTTGGGATGTGAAAGATTAGTCATGATTTTTATGATGCTTAAACGTTATATTCATTAATGTTTTGTTGTTTATCTTTAGGAATGTGATTTCTTTTCTCTTGTATTAAATACCTTGGCTCGTTCTTGTTAAAAATCTCAGCATCAATGAAATATTGGGAATAAAAAATAATATTTATTTTTTTATTAACGAAACGGTAGGGCGGAACGCAACAAATGATCGTGGTGTACGCCTCGACACCGCGATACCTATTGCAAAAAAATTCCAGGTCGCAGAAGTGAGTTTGGACGGACGGTCAAACAGACAGACGGACGGACGGACAAAACGCAAACCATGCACATTTTTTATACTTAAAAATGCGCTGAAAATAAAAGAGTGCATATTTGTATTGGTGAGACACCCTGTAGGTATATGAGAATATTTCAATTTATTAAGTGTAAATCTGAGGGATTATCTATAGGAATAAGCACAAAGTTGATGTATTGTATTTGAATTTGTGTCACGGTGTTGTTTTTCCTTTTGGATTTGTTTGTAATTGAGTACTTCAGTCAGCGCGACTTGTAATCTACCAGTAAAAGAGGAGAGAATGTAACGGTGTGTAAGTCTCTGTCATATCAGCTCCTTTGCGCTGGGCGTCGATTCCCGAAGATATGATTTGTTCACATCGACTGACCTTGATGTGAACGTGAATGTCACTGCATTCTCGAACCTACCACATCGAGCGAAAAGTTGATCGAACGCAACGACTGGTCTAGACCTCAGAGTAAGAAATAAAGATAGAGATGCCTTGATGCTTATCTATGCGTGCCATCATCTCGTTTGTTTACTAACATTGCAGGAGGCTAAGTTGTCACATTTCACGAGATAGTTTTTAAGGGAATATTAATAATATATGCATCTCGAGTAATCTAAATGGATTTTTAGATGCTTATAAGAGTTCAGTAACCCAAACAATTTTAACTTACAATTAAACGGCGTAACAAGAAAAGTTATGGTGATTAGTGCACCACAACGGCAACGCTGTAACTTTGTTTTCCGTTGAGAGGTATTTTGTTTATTTCGTTAAAACGTGATTCCTTAATTTTTAGGCGTTTTTATAGTGGAGGACTTATTCGATTGTGGTGTATTAATTTATGGGAGCCCTTTGAAATGGGGAAAAAGCTGTATTTAAAGTCACTAAATATAGAAAGTACCGCAATCCATTGGGCTCGTGTGTTAGAGAGAGAACGCATGATTTTTGCCCAAAAATGGCGGAAGTTACCAGATTCTAGTAACTTTAATGGTAGGGATTGTTCCACCTGTTTGGAGATATCTCTATATATTTTTATAAAACATGACAGTACTTTGAAGTTAGGTTATAAAAAATGACAGCTATTCAGATTTTATTTGTCAATTTTTGTAAGTTGGCAGCAAATTTGCCCAAAAATGGCGGATGATTGCGGTACTTTCTATATCTAGTGACTTTAGGTTTACAGTCCCAAACTCACCCGCAGTACATAATTAGATTTTCAGTCACATTACACTTACTATGTTAGGTGTAACAGTGCCATTAATTTATGCAGGAGCGGTAAAAAAGTGTAAAGTTACCTTAACGGTTCCCAAACGGTGACAACTGACAATCTGTTTTTAGGTTAGGTTCGCGGCCTCGAACATATAAAAATATAAACAGTTTATTTCCACGTTATTTGGAACGCCTGACAATTATAAAACATATTGCAGTGCGTTCATTTGAGGTAAGTCCCATGGTTGTAGTCATAAGATTGAAAAATGGTTAAGTATAGGTACCATGGACGAGTGCATCACACTGACACTAGTTAAAATTGAACCAAAACAGGAAGAAGAAACAAGTTTGTCTCTTGAACAACAAATTTATGTAAAAAATGATGTTTTACCAGTCAAAGTGGAACACATTGCAGAGGATTGTAGTGATGAGTACAATACTCAAGAAGTACTGCAGCAACAAAGTGATGGTTGCACAAATTTTCAAAAGCACCACAAAGACTTTGTATGCGACATTTGTAATTTTGCCACAAACTCTAAATACACTTTGACGGCACATATGGTATCACACAAAGCTTCTAAAGATTTTAAATGTGAAATTTGTGATTATGCCGCGAGACGAAAAGACGCCTTGAAAAAACATCTCTTAAGGCACAATGTTCATAAAGATTATAAATGTGACATTTGTAATTATGCCACAGTCCATAAATACTATTTGAAACGACATCTTTTAAAACACAACGCTTCTGAAAAACATTTTAAATGTTACACTTGTAATTATGCCACAAATCATAAACCTGATTTGAATCAACATCTTGCAACACACACCGATTTCCAATGTTACAGTTGTGATTATACCACAAAACTGAAAAAGAGCCTACGACAACATGTCTTTACGCACAAAGTCTCTATGCAATTTAAATGTGACTGTTGTGATTATGCAACAAATTTCATCTCGAAATTTAAACAGCACGTCTCATCTCACAAAGCTTCTAAAGATTTTAAATGCGGAATTTGCGATTATGCCGCAAGACGGAAAGACACTTTGAAACAGCATCTATTAACACACCAGCATTTTAAAGATCGAGTTAGAGACTTTAAATGCGGCTTTTGTGAGTACGCAACGCACATTAAGCACAATTTGAAACGACATCTTGAAAAAATACATCGTCTCAACAGTTTCACAAACTGGTATTTGATTATCAATGTCCAAGGGCTCGCTACTAAGTGACGTCTTATAAATTTAAGGGAAGATTTAACTGTTGGGAGGATCGTTGCTGCTGAATTTTAACAATAGATAAGAACAACAAAAATTTGTAGTCCCCTAAAGCTTGAAATAAATGTTTCGACAAAAATCTGTTGATTTTATATTGAGGGGGGCAATTTTTATGCGAAAATAATTATTGCAACGTGAGAATATCTATCGGACAAATTTGCTTGCACGATTAGGGCATTGTGGGCGGATGCACCATCGATGGTAGTATGGGATACCCCCAATAAAATGGACAGGATGTGACTCATCTCTTAAAGTCCTTTTGTTAAAGGCAAGATGGAAAATTACAGGGCCTTGTAGGCATAGTTAACTAGAAACAAGATATGTGGAAATTATTGAATCGCCACTCATTTATCGCACATAGATTCTAAACTGAAGAGCATTGATTAGCGTAATCTCGCCCCCGCAAGATAGGTAGCGTCGCCCCTCGTTCGGGGTTTCGAGCCTACAATTGAAAGTCGAAGAGAATCATGGAATTAGGTGTCGTAGCTCAATTCTGGCTACAGTTTTTACCACCCCGTGACTGCTTTATTCACGGAGAAAATGTTACCTACAAACAACAAGTCAGTACACACATCGAACGAATCGGTAATTTCCACATATTAAATTAAAATGATCAAAACTTATATGAATGTTACTTCAGGGACAAGACCAAGTAATCAACATCAATAAACATAAATTAAGCAAGCATTACACCAAAAACGCAAACAATTACAAACAATAGCATAACGGTATCACATATGTAACTATGCATTGCGGTTAAACCAAGTAAATTTGAATATTCAAACACGCAAATATAAAATGCGGCATATAAAACACAAATACGATAAAAAGAAATGCAAAAATTACTACCTGCATTAAATAACACAAAATAACAACAAACATTTATGGAGCGACGCGTTCACGACCGCCATTCAGGACATGATGCCAAACCATATATATACTTATATATATGTGCCAAACGTAAGTAACCCCCGCTCGTGCTTTCTAGATGGCGCAGGCAGCTTTTTCCCACCTAGAAATTGCATGGTTGCCAACTCTCACAAATGTATGTATCGTCGTAAGTTGTATATACAGGGTAGAACATCTCAGTATCTTTATCACTTTGGCATCTACCTCTGCACGGGCGAAAAGGTTAAACATTCAAAAAGGGCAGACTCGTACACAAAGGATTGAAGTCGCTAATCGATCTAAATGCGTTTATTTATTATCCCTCTCTTGTTCTGGGCCCTCAACAGGCTTACCCCCGATTACAGAGTGACCCACACAATGCTTTTTAGAGATGCCTCTGCAGAAGCACTTTAACAGAGACCGCCATTTTTTCGGCAAAACTAATTTCCTCTTGAATAGACGTTCAATCGGCTGAAATTTAGCGCTGGTAACAGCCATCTTTTAAATTGCTGACATCAAAATTATTCATTATTGAACATTAACCGGATTGTTTCAGTGTAAAAAGATGCTTTCCAGCGGTGTCTCTATATACGCCGATGGTGCTTGTCATTTCAAAGGTGTTTCTATATACGCTAACGGTACTTGTTTGAATCAAATATCTCGAGCAGAC